ACCCAAATGAGGAAATGCAGAAATATTAGAGAAAGAAACACTTCAGAAACAAACAGAAAGAGATAGAATACATTTCGAAGAAATTGCAATCTTACGATTGGAAGACTTACCCTCATAGATGTCTTCTTATTTTAGATGACTTTGCTTCTCATCCTTTGTTAAAGAATAGAGAAAGACATGTGTCGAATTCTTAAGAAACTTAGGCACTTTAACATCTCAGTTGTCATTTGTGTACAGACAGCAAAGAGTTTAAGTAAGGATGTTAAAAGAATACTGACTGACATTATACTTTTCCCCGGATTGTCCGAAGACGATTTCATGGAACTTATGAAAGAGTCCATGGCAGGTAAGTTTGACAGATATGAACTATGGGAGAAGTACAAAGTCATACAAGACCCTCATACTTCTTTCAGAATTCATATCTACGCAAACAAAGTTCAAATTGTAAAAAGTCAAGCTTGAAAAATAAATGGTTCATCTACCCTACTTGTTTGAAGTTGTCAAAATACTCTGTTATTTTTTCCTTTAACAATGGCAAATCTTCTTTGAAGGTAAGTATTGTACAACCTTTCATATCATAGTGTGTTTGAGGTAACGTATCTTGAACTATTTGTTTCACATCTTCATTTGGGGGTCATTGAAATCGGTAAGTTTTCGCGATAGAACCAATTTCTGTCAGATTTGTAAATCTTAGCAAGGTCGTAAAAGCTTTTGTTGTTTCTTCTGACTAAATGCAACATAACCATATCTTTATCTTCTTCATTTTCCATCTCTTCAGTATAAATCATATACTTATAGTTCTTTTCCTTACCTTTTGGTACCGAACGTGGTATTCTTTTCTGAATGCTTTTGTCTTTTGCTTCAATGACTTCATCTTTTGCTTGAAGTTTCTTTTCCATCTCTTCACGTTCTTGTCTATGAATTTCGTCAAGAAGTCTGTAAACATGCCATGCATAACGAGGAGAAGCCCACATTGCAACTGCATTTACTAAAAGTCTATGTACATAATATCCTCTTAAATTTATTGGCAAATTTTTACGATTTTCATGTGTTTTATGCATGGCCGAAAAAAGTCGGTCTAGAGAAATTTCACTCAAAAGTTCTTGTGTGCTTTGGTTTTTGAACCAGTCGTCTGCGTGTTTAGTGTCTGGAGCAAAACATGCTGTCAAAATACTTTGCATTTGGTACATATCGTCTTTGACCGAACGAATGAGACGGAGTTGTTTGTTAAACTGAACCCACTCATATTCTTCATTTATAGCTTCATGGACTATAACTGTTGTTGTGTTCTCTGTTGTTGACATATCTGTCCTTACATACAAAATAAAAAAATAAATAAAAATAAAACTAACTTTATTTTTTCTATCTTAAGGAAATTCACTGTTTTCATGAGTTTTAGGCGACCCCGAAGGAAGTCGGTCTCGCTGTTCTTCACTGTTTTCATACGGAATCTCTTCTCTCGGTTTTCCGAGGGAAGCAAGCATATGAGGAAATTCATGAAATTTGGTCATTTTTCAGCAAAAATAATGTTTAGGTGAAGAGGAGTAGTATATAATGCGGGTTTTGTGACTTTTTTTGTAAACGTAAGAATTCATACAATATCGAGTGATTTTGTATCATTTTTTTTAACATATGAAGTAAAAAATGTATGATTCTTACGGTTTTTATTCTTACGTTTTTGAATAAATCAAGATTTAAAAAATTTTCAAAATTGTAAGACATTTACACTAAACCCATACATAATGAAATAAAAAAAATAAAAAAAATAAAAAAATAAACTTTAAAAATTCATGTCTTACATTTTTGAATAATTTATTTTTTTTAATTTGTATGAAAATGAGTGGATCAAGATTCGTAACCGTCAATCAATTAATGGATGCTCTTTCACCAATTCTTGAAAATGTTAAACAAGTAGATGTTTATTTCGATGATTATGTAGAAAGTTTATATTATAAAGGTAAGTTTAATATTAAACTTATTGCTTTTGCATTTGATAATAAATTAATTGAAAATGCAAAAATTTGGGAATTAATTCCAGATATTGAATATATAACAAATATTAATGATAAATGGTTTAAACAAATTCCAACCACAAAAGTTCTTTGTAAATTAATGATCAAAACTGAGGAAAAAGAATTTAACGGGTTTAAATATCATCCAAATAAAGTTTCAGAACTAGAAAATGAAAAACTTCAGAAAAAATTAAACGATAGACTTTCAAATGATCGTATTGAAAAAATAAATAAACTAGCAGAAGTTGCATTTAATAATGAAATATTTGATGAATATAACCTTGAACTCAGTGATGGACTTTAAGTCCTGGGCACTTTGTGCCTTGAGCTTTAAGGACCCGGGCTCAACGAGTCATGATTTATGAAATCAATAATTTGATTTATTCGCTCTTCAATAATTTCTATTCTTTTTGTTAAATCATCAATTTTCATTAATGAGGTGATTCTTGATTGAGGAATAGATTTCAAACTAACCACTCCTTTTATTTTTGAAATTTTGAATCCATCAACTTTAAACATTTTATTCAATTTACATGTTGTCAATTCTTCAAATAATTTTTTATTATTAGCATAATAGTCATTAAATTCATCAACAGATGAAAAAATTTTATTTCAGTAATTGGTTTAACAACGTTTATTTTTTGTTGAACATTTTCACTTTCATTTATTTCTTCCTCCTCTGTTTCATTTATTTTTAAAATTGGTTTCATTTATCATTAAATAAAAATTAGAATATAAGTGATGAAATATATTTTTTAATTAATATTAAATCAGAAATGGCGGCAGGATTCTTTAAAAAATTATGGGATGGAATTAAGAAAGCTGCAGGTTGGGTTTATAAAAAGGTTATTAAACCTGTTGCAAACTTTTTGGCACCAGTAGCGAAAACGGCAGGAACTATCATAGGTGGAGTATTAGGTACTAAAGCAGGTAATCCGGCGATGGGAGCACAAGCAGGTAACGCAATTGGTGGAATTGCTGAAGGAATACTTAATAAAATAGGGGGTAAATAGTGGAAAAATAAATAAATATTATTTTTATCTTAGTATTGGTTGTAGTCTTTGATAAACTTTTTCTCCTTTATTTAAAATTTCTCTTATTGGGGCAGCTTTTGGTGTTATTGATTCAGCAACGTCACTAATTGCTTCTTTATTCTTAAATATCCAATTCGCTCCTTTCTTCATTGTTTCCCAAACTTTATGCGCTCCTCTTTTTACTTTATCCCACAGTTTCTTAAAGAATCCTGCAGCCATAGTTGATTATTTCATTAAAATTAAAAATTCATTTTCATATTTTAATTTTGATTTTTTATTTAATAATAAATGACGACTAACTATTTGGTGCCAAACACTAAACCAATTAATGGAAATGTGTTTCATTCATTCGAAAAGATAAATGAAATATTTGCAAAGAATGACGGAAGAAGATATTATAGAGAACTTGAAAGTTCATGCTATGACTCTGATGCTCCATATTTTGATGATAAACAAACTCATTTAAGAATTACAAATCCGGCTCATGATGTGAACCAATTAGGTGACACATATATTAAACGCAAAGTTAAAGCAACTCTAGTTTCAAATAAAGCTTTCACATGTGATGCCGCTTTTAAATGTATGCGTTTATTCGTTGGTTACAAATCATCAAATCAAAGCTTTAAACAATTAGAAGTAGAAACCGAAAGAGGTGATGCCGGTTATCTTCAGATGGATTGCGCCCGTGAATCTTTCGCATTTGCAACATATAAACCAAAATCAGAAAGGAAAGTTAAAAAGTTTGTTCATTCGTTATATAATATAATGTTCAAAAATATGATAACTCAGTATGTGGTAAATATATTGACCCTTCAGAAGTTTTCAAGAAAGCAAATGAAGAAGTTGATATCACTTTTGATATGATTATTCCGGTAAATGATTTGTTAGCATTTCAGGCGTTCGATGATTATCCTAAATCATTTGGTGAAATCATTCTTAAATATTATGTTTTCAGGGATACTTTAGTATTTTGTCAGGTTGACCCGTTAAGAGTTGCTGATTTACAAAATTACGTTTATGAAAAGATAACTGATGAAAATTATGAAAAGATTATGAATCATGTTTATAAATATGATCGCAAATTCCAACAAATCGGACTTCCTGCCAAATTAATTACAAGCTTAGCCGCTACATCTGCTGACGCAACAGTTGATGACGTTATTATTTCATGCACAAAGATGGAAGTTTTAGAGGATAAATGCATTACACCAGGATACGGTTTAATTGAAGAATCAGTTAAAGCAATACCACGTTTATTCAGTAAGGAAGATCCATTCATGATTCCAGCTCAACATATTGACGTTCGTTCACTAAATGGAGGTTGCATCACTCCTGAAGGTATCAGTTCAGATTTCTCATACGCTCTTCATAATGTTACAGATGTTGTGTTAGCATTTCCGAAGAATGCAATGCAAAGAACGGTTTTAGAAAATCCAATGCTTCGAGGTCTTCAGGTCACTATAGATTCCAGAAACTTCCCGATCAAGCGATGACCACAGTGGGCGACATATTCTTTACACGTATGCTTCAAGCTTCTGATTTAGATGGAGTGAATGAATGCACGGAAGAATACGAGGACTCATTAACTAGACCACTGAATGATGATAATGGCATGCCATTAGCTAGAACATGGAAAGACCAAACTTCATTCTTATGCACTATTCCAGTTCAACGTGATGGAGCGGGTATATTCTTTGATGGATTAGAAACTTTCAACTCACAAGTTACAGTACAAGTGAAAGCTTATCCAATCATTCAGGGTGTAAATGACACTTACTGTTCAAAGGTGACAAATCCTCCTCAGGTTTGGTTTACTAGGACTACGTATTGGACATGGACACCGGATGAAGGTTTGAAATATCATCCAACAGGTACACCACCACAGTATAGAAGTTCATATGATGAAATATTGATGAATAGAAATGTATAAAATTATAAATTTATTTTTGATTAAATGGATTTAAATTCTGAAGAATTAGCGGGAGTATATAATACATACGTAGATGATATGATTAATGAAGCATTGAGTGATAATAGAAATGCTCTATCTAAGGAAAAATTAATGAAAATTCCATATTCTGAATGTTACTTAAATTCAATCACTGCAGCAATTGGTAAACAAAATAAAGGTAAAACATTAACGATATTAAAACAAATTATCATTATTGCTAACACTTCCCCCCATTCACATGTGTTAATTTATATCAACCGTTCAGGTTCACCTTCAGATGATACATTTGAATCTTTAAAGCATTTAATCAAAATTCCAATTATTTATTTATCACAAGAAGAAGCAGAAGATTATTTAAAAAACTTTTTAATGTATAAAGAATTATATAATACAATCAAGAAGCAAGGATTAGAGGATAAAATTATTGATAAACAACGGGATGAATTATTTGAAACACTTTCTATTTCAAATTTTGATAGAGAATTTTTGCATTCACTCATTTTTCTAGATGATGCGGTGAAATCAAAACTAATAACAAATGAGAAATCATATTTTAATCAGTTATTAACTCAATGTCGACACATTCAGTGTTCATTCTTCATGGCTGTTCAATACTTCAAAGCATTAAGCACAAACATTAAATCAAATCTATCAACACTTTTCATTTTCAGTGGTTTTAGTCGTCAACAGTTGAACGTTATGCTTTATCAAGTGAATTTACCAATGAGCATTAATGAACTTTACACACAATATCAACAATTAGGTGAACATGGAAAAATAATAGTTGATTTAAATAAAGGATGTGTTAAATTTGATTAACTTTTTATAATTAATTTTTATTTTTTATTTATAATTAAACATGACAGAAATAGCAAATCTTTTACAGGTTCCATTAAAACAGGGGACAAACAAAAAGGGGGGTGTGTATAATAGAACTATGAAAGTTCCAGACGGAATGAAAGAATTAGTTCATATTGTTGCTGGTCTTCAAAAAGATGTAAAACAAATGAGAAACGTTTTAACATTACCAGAAGCTCAAGCATATGCCAAACGTCAAGGTCCAAATTGGGAAGCACATGAAGCAGACATTACAGGTCCAAATGGAAAACCTGATGGTATAAATGAAGTTTTCGTTACTGATGGTCGAGGTAATATTAAAGTCATAAATGGTTACAAATTAACTGTATCTGATTATCCTAAACGTAAAGCATATAATGAATGTTATCCTATGCAATTTGATGAAAATGGAAAAGCTGTTAAACAATACATTGGAGAAGGTGAACATGGCCCAATTAATTCATACCGTCATAATCCATATTCATATTTCAATGAAGAATTAAACGCTATTGAAGAAGGACCGGATGGATTACCACAATATGTTAATCAGTTTGATGGTCAATATGCAAATTTGAGACCTGAAATTCCAGCTAAGAAATTCTTTAAAGTTGCTTTATTCGATCCAGTGTTCAATGAACAGAAAGAAGCAATGAAAGCAGAATTTAAACCAATTCAAGTGGCAAGAATTTCTTCATCTTCACTTGCAGAAGCGTTCAAGGAATTGATAAAGAAACCACTTTATTCTCAACAAGGTTATAACTTTGATTTAATTAAAGAAAGTGATAGACGTAAATTAGAAAAATCAGATGGTTTTAAGAATGCATGTAATGAAATGATTAAAGATATTGTAAATGATGAAATAAGACTGGAAGAAACTCAAAGCAATATCAATAACATTATTGGTGCAGTTACAAAGAAAGTATAAGCAAACAATGATGAACCTTGGGATATTACCGTAACAACTAAATAAAACTTTAAATATATATTTTTCTTTTTTTATTCAATTATAAATGAGAAGACGTTTCACAAGTCAAAAGAACACTAACGCAAAAGCAGAGATTACGGTTGGTTATAACGTAAATGATGATAAATCACGAATTATTCAAAATGTTAAAGTTAATGTTAGCCCTGAATTAACAAGGTCAGCAACTCAACCAAATTTATTAACTCGTGACTTACCGAAGAATGAGGAGAATGAAGAAAACCATGAGAATGGAGACCCAATCATTTTATCTGAACCCGGTAAAGAACCCGTTGAAATCCCCACATATCCAACATACCCCCCACCTCTTTCATCAAACATCGAGAACCCAGGAATATACGATTCCAGTCGCAATGCGCCATATAAAATAGACATTAATTCTGAATTAATGAAAATTTACCGTGATATAATAACTGATAATTATGATTCAATAATAAATTTAATTGATCAATCCGGTTTAATTATTTTACCTTATGAATCATTAATTCACATTATCGCCATTCTTTGTGATGTTCAAGATTCAGACGTTAAGATTCAATTTTTCATAGATGATGAGGTTTCATGCTGCGGAACAGTTGCAAAAATAAATCCTATAAAGGATATTAGCACAATTAAGATATCAAAGAACGGAACAACAACTGAACTTCATTTAACATATAATGATATTTATAATAAAATAGTTGATGAATATAAAATATCACTTGAAAAATTCTTTGTTAAGGCTATTTAATATTCAAGCATTAACATTATTGAATAATAATCCTTTGAATCATAATCAATAATAATTGACCTTTCACCAGTTTCTATCGTTTGTTTTATTTCTTTTTGTTCCCCACTATCTGGATCGGTCATTGTAATTGTTTTTGTTATAGTATCAGCTTTATCTTTAACTTCAATCTTTTTTCCATCAGGATATTTAAACCAAAATTCCAAAAATTCGATATTGTCAATCTGTTCATATTTTAATCTATCAATTGCATTTTTAATACCATCTGAAAATCTTATGAAATGGTCATTATATGGGTTTGATTGAACTAAATTTGAATGAAGTGAAATATAACCCGATGATGAATATGACATTGACTCATATTTTCTGAAAACACTGAAATTTATAACATGAATGAATTTCTTATTCGTTGAATTTATGAATTCTTGAGGTAATCTTATTCTAGTTTTATTTATCACTGGAAAATAACGCTTTACCATATTTTTAATCGTAATAAAAATGTCAATTATCAATATTATTTCGAATAATAGTTGTGAATTAAATTTAACAGTTAGTGGAATTTATAATGTTACTCTCGTTTCTGTGAGTGGTAAATTTAATCCCATTCTTTTAGACCCTTCAGATTATATATCATTTATTAAAGATGACCTTGAAAAAACGTATGATATGTATATAAATAATGTGATAACGAAATGGGATATTAACACAATTTTAAGTTATTTAAATGAATCATTTATCGTTTGGTATGAAGAAAATTTTAAATCAAAACCTGATAAACTTTTTGAACTTGATGAAATAAATAACCTTATTAAATTCCCGCTGAAAATTAAATTTTGTACTCCTCATCTTCGTTCATTGTTGGGGATATTAAATTTTGAAAAAGATGTTGGGGATGTTTTGTATTCTGACACTGGTTCCAATTTCATTTTAATCAAATGTGATAAAGTTAATACCCCAATGAGATTTTCACATCAAACATTAGACCCTAACTCTTACCCATCAATACAAAACATTTTATCCATCAACTTAAACATATTTTCTTTATCATATCCGTTTCAATTATCCGGGAATTCATTTATTCTTCATTCAAAAGATTTATCAAATATTAAATTTAGAATAACTGACCTATTTGATTGTGATTTAGAATTTATGAATGAAATATTATGGCAATTTCAAATAGAAAAAATAGCTGATGAGATAACAGATTAAATATTTATTTTTAAATCATAATAAATGATTAAACAACAGCAACCACAGCAACTTAAGGCACAGACCATTACTTACGCCACATATGCATATAATTCAAAGACGGCAGAACAAACGCAAAGGTTGAAATATGGAGATTTGGAGATAGTATTGAAAAATGACCATTTTGAATTCGTTTGCAAGGGTGGTGCAGTGATATCAAATATAAAAGAAATTTTATTTATGAATTCAAAAATTAAAGGAATAACGGATGATATAACATCAATTCCACCAGAAGAACAAAGATATTACGCATTAAATGCATTTCCTAAAGTTTTGAAGATTGGAAGATTTAATTTAAATGAGGAATTCATAGAAGGTTTCCTAAATGACATAATGAAGAAGGCAGATAAGGAATATGTGGATAGTGAGTTAATGAAGAAGGCAGATAAGGGACTTGTGGATAGTGAGTTAATGAAGAAGGCAGATAAGGGACTTGTGGATAGTGCATTAATGAAGAAAGCAGATAAGGAATATGTTAATGAAAAAGATAATGAAATTATCGAAAGGGTTGAATGGTACCATGAACGGACATCGAAGATTTTAAAAACTAAAGCTGATACAGGATGGGTTTCAGAATGTTTAGACCTTAAAGCAGATAAAACTTATGTTAACGATGAGTTAGAGAAGAAAGCAAATAAAGAATATGTGAATGAAATATACCAAAGTTTGATAGGAACAACTAAAAATATTGAAACTATTGCTGGTGACTTTTCCGTCTATGAAGAAAATAAATATTTTAGAGGGCAATTGGTACATTCCTTAAAAAATGGTATGCGGTGTAAACTCATTCCGAAAAATAACAATGAAATGTATGTAAGTTATAAAAAGAATGATGACACACAAGTTAAAGTTCCATTAGACAACAACTGTTACTTAAACTTATATGGAGACGAACAAAAGAAATATTTAAGAGTTTATGAAATGACGGATATGACATTGTCTAACGTAGCTCCAGCACCGTATTATTTCGACTCTGGAGATGATGTCAGAACGCCGCATGTAGATGAACAAAAGCAAACATTATATTTAGATTATTATAGATATAAAAGATATAATGCAATAGAAAAAACGAGAATAGTATATTATTATATAGATGACAAAAATAAATATTATAGTCAAGATTTTACATACCCTGAAAACATAAGATTATATTATAAAAAATATTCTGACACAAACCAGAAGAAACCCGAAATAGTTACACTATATTTTAAGTTCAAAAGAGACAATCCTATATTATCTCATATGTTTGATTTAATGAACCCAGTAGGTTCTATTTATACATCTATGGATGTGAGAGGTCCTCAAGCAATGTTTGGTGTTGGTGCATGGGAACAAATAGTCGACAGGTTTTTGTATTGTGCAAACTCTTCAAAGGAAACAGGGGGAAGTAAAACGATTACAGGTGAAAATTTACCTGCACACAGTCACTACATAGATTTAAGTACATCTCAAGCGGGTTGGCATAAGCATAGATATTGGGATTGGTCAGGAATGACAAAAGGTAAAGGATATGATGTTAAAGACAACGTTAAGTTTGCCATAAATTGTTACTGGAGTGACACTCAGGGAGAAGGAAACCATACACATCGCGTTTCAGGATATACACAAACAACGGGACAAAGTAAAGATTACATGCCACCATTTATGACTGTATTCGCATGGTATAGAGTTCAATGAACGCTCAATGTTTGTGAAACAAACTTTAGGAGCTCCAAAAGAGCAAACAGCATAATTTAAATTTTTATTTTTATCATAAATGAATACCCCACAAGCTCAAAATTTACCACGAATCATAACAAGGGAGGAAATGATAAAAATGATGCAAGAACATGTTAAAAATAACAAACCACTAAAACTGAGAAAATGTGGTTATGCAGTAATGATGGAAAGAGAGATGTTGTCGAAGAGGAATAAAAATTAAATTTGGATTGAGTTTAAAAATTCATCTTTATTTATTCTTCATCTTTCAATCAATTTATTTATTCTATTAAATTCTTTTATTTTTGCTTCACTCAGTTTAAGGATTGAACGGTAAGTTTCTAATTTTTCGATTATTTCTTTCCTCTCTTTATCGTTTTCAACTCTCCCACCGCATTGTGGCTTCTTTTTGTAATAGCATATTTTTGATTTAATTCTGTTTAGTTTCTTTTTATATTCATTGTCTGGACTCTTGGATGCTTCGTTGTCACTCATTTCTTACGAAATAAAAAAAATTAAATATTATTTAAATATAATGGAGTAATAAAATAAATCGGAATTTCTATTAATTTATTGTTAACCTCAACTAATGCATTGCCGTTAATATATCTAACAAATTCAGCTATTGTGTCAAATCTTCGTCTTCTTTTTGTCATTGATTTATCAGTTTTTCCATAATCGAGATGAATCAAAACTTTATCCCCTTGTTTAAAATTCATGAGCCCCGAATTAATTTGTTCACGTTTAACATCATTCAACCTTTCCATTTGCTTTCTAATATATTCCCATTCTTTTGAAATATCATTTTTCATTTCCACTGGTTTCATGTTTATTGTTCTATGCCATGTATTATTGTAATAATATACTAACTGTTGTATGATGGAGTCATGATTTCCATCCCAGTATATCTGACCGTTAACCCCTAACGCATCTCTAAGAGTTCTCATTACCGCATCAACTATTTTATTATGAAACGTATATGGAGAGGATGAAAAGTAAAAATTAATTTGTGGGAAATAATGAGTCATAGCTGCCTGAAATCCTTTATCACCATCACCCCTGATATTATCTACTCTTTCATGATCTAGTAAGTATTGAATAGCTCTTCTTGTTTCCTGTTCTGTTTTCCCTTTCACTGGAATGCAATATAAATATCTGGTGTTAATGTTAATGGTAAATAAATAAGTAACGTTTCCTTTTGAATATTCTAAATGATCGATTTCATATGAATATGGATATGGTGCAAATGAAGGGCGACTAAATTTTTCCTTTAACGGTTGAATTTTTGGGTCAATTGGTTTATTTAATATCTTGAAATCCTTTTTAAAATCTTTTTGTTTCTTTAATGTTTGAAATGGATATAATAAAGTGAATGATGAAAGATTAACTGAAGGAGGAGGTGGTTTTGGTGTTGCAGGTACTGTCGTTAGAGGTTTTGGTGTTGCAAGTGGTTTAATTTTATCTGCTTTGATTTTGGATGATGAAGTTTTGGAATTCCTTCCTTCCTTCATTAATTCTGGATGTATTCTATTCATTTGTTTTAAATATGCTGTATATAAAGGTTTAATATACTTTCCCGCTTCGAGTTTATGTTGAAGGATGAATTCCAAAAGTTGATCTTCATTTAAAAGTCGGGCTGAATATGGTTTAACTAATGAATCATAAATTAAAGCTTGTGCATCATTTATGGTCTGAAGGACCTGGGCGTTTTGCACCTTTTGTTTTTGCTTCTTTTGCTTTTGCGGCTCAGGATTATATAATTTATATAATTCATCAATATCTTCTTCTGTTAATACTTTATTTTTAAAATCTTTCAATTGTTTCAGTTGTGATTTAGTTTTTCCCTTTGAATATTCATTATTTTTAATTTTGTCTTTAATTTTAGAAATTATTTTATCATGATATTTCAAAATTTCATTTTTATAATATGGATAATAATATCCCATATCATCACCCGTTATATTATTATTATATTTTTGGAGATATGCTTTTAAATCGTAATAATCAAGAAATTTTTGATAAAATACTAAATCATCAATTAAATTTTCTAAATCTGAGTTATCCATTTATATAAAAATAAAATAAATGTTTTAAGGGTGCCCACCTCTTTGAATCATAGTATCAAAAACATCATTAACGGTTCCTTTTGTCTCTTCTGTGGCATTTTATTAAATAAATGGCATACAACATCCATTTTCACAACACACAGCCTTAGTGTGTGCTCCTGTTAATGCAGTCTTACCAATTGTTAAGCGAGTCATTGACCCGTTTTTAAGTTGTAAATTAATATTCTGACCATCAAATATCACTTTATCATTTATTATATCCAAATAATTTTTAGGTGTTAATTGTTTATTTTGTCGTAAACTAACTCCTTTCATTTTTTGTGCAATCTTTTTAAAATCACTTCCATCAATTGAACCGTTGAATGATGTATAACACTTGGGGCATAAAGCAACCATGTTATCACCTTGTTTCTCAATTGCTAAACCCAATAACTTCTTCTCATGTGCTTTTTCTTCAGCTTTATTCTTTAATTTAGGTTTAAATTTCTCATCAAAACAAAAGAAATCAAAAGGTGCGAATTTGTAAATGTTTTTATCATAAAATTGTTTATCAGTAACAATTGCTTGAAATGCTTGAGTGTTAGGAAGATTTGGGTCGCCAGCGATTGCCCAATAAGATGAATCAGTATCACCTTCAATGAAATGAAAACGATTAACATTCAAGCATTTATACATAAAATCATAAATGAAAACCAAATACCAGTATTTTGCGTTATCTAAAGTGAGAAATGCCTCTTGTAAACATGTATCACATCTATAAAATCTATCTTTAAGCATCACTTGATACGTATCTTCACCTATTTCTCTTATGTTTTTAAACTTATTTGACATACATGCAACGCGTGCCTTCTGTGCATTCATTATTTTAGTCTTTGCGTAATTTTGTGTATTCATTGCATCGTAACCATATGATCCATTAAGTGAAATCTTGCAAAATAAACTTTTTCCTTTATTTCCTTCTAATTCAGCCTTTTGTCTTTCGTTCATAAATTCGTTCGCAAATTCATTAAAGCAAGTGTTTTTCGTAAATGTTAAAATTGATTGAATATCATCAATGATAAAATGAAATCTGTCTATTAGATACCAAAGATAATAAGAAGAAAATGGTTGATATTGGTTGTGTGTTGATGCTAACTGAGTTAATTTCCTCTGTTTCTGGTCAACTGGTAGATTGTTTGATTTCATGTAATTATACATAAAACTGCCAATTGTTTTTTCATCTGTGATAATATCTAAGTTTCTTATTATTGGTAAAAAGTTTATGTAATCATTAATGTATTTTTCATCAATGTGACCCTTTACTTCAGCCACGAATAAAGTATTTTTCTTTCTAATTATTCCCAGTGCTTTTGCTTTCTTTGTTGCTGTATCACAAATGATAACACCATTCAATCTTCCCGGCATATACATTTTATGGTCAGTATATTGAATGAAATCATGAGGATTAGATGAAAATGATGAAGGATATAATGAATTAAAATCAACACCAACAAAATGAGTCATAATGTTGGTGGTGTCCTCATTTGATACAGTTTTAGTTTCTGGATTATATGAAAGTTTATTAATGTGCGTGATTCCTTTAAGATTAACACGATGTTGAACATTTGATAGACCACCAGTAATTCCATTACGGAGAATGTGATAAGCTTCAACCGAATCTAAAGTCATTGGTAAATTATTTTTTAATGCATAATTTCTTAAATTGATTCTTAAACGTTGAACATCTTCATCTTTATTTGATTTTACGACATTGCAATAACAACACATTAACTGACAATTTTCTTTGGTATGTGGTTTTTCATTATCGATTCTATCCAATGTTGGTTTATTAGCATATGTAAACGCTTTACCACACATTTTGCATTTAGATGAAAGGATTAAATCGTGATAGTATTGAAAATCATCCATTGAAACATTGTTTTTAGTATCCCTTTCTGCTTTTTCATCTTGTTTCTTATATGATTCAATTTTATATTTCCAATACTTTTTCGTTAATTCAAAACTTGATTCCACATTTTCTTCTTCTGGATATGTTTCGTTAGGATTGAAGTTCTTATATGCTAACGCGTAACGAATCATTGATGCATTCGATGATAAAGAAAGATTATGAAGCATGTCAATTTTATAAACAAATGTTTCTTCAATAATTTTATCAATTGGGTTAATCATAATTTCAACGTCTTTATTGCAATAATGAATAAAATATTCTAATCTATTCTCAAAATTTTTAGCATCATTGAGATATATTTGATAATCTGAATCGGATATAGTTTCTTGAGTTAATGCTGAATAAAATGAATCTTTCGTGAATGGTTCCTTTTTATATAATTCATCTTCGTAATTTTCCCACGTGATGAATTGATAAGGGAAAAAGGATTTAACACGTGATTTATTGTTTCCGAAATCTTGAGTGAATTGGTCTAATGTCCCACCCGCTATATAATTTCTGATGTCAATAAATCTTAATTCATATGGACAGTTTGTTTTCTTTACAATGATTTGCTTAAATTGAGAAGATGAACCCAGCATTGATTTTATTTTCCATTTTGCAGTGTTTAAATCACGAAGAATTAAATTTAAATCAAACTTTCCCGAATTAAAACCTATGATATTCACTTTATTAAATTCTTCATCTAAAAGCTCTTTCATTGCTTCCTTTTGTTTCTCATTTAATGTATGAGACAAAGTCCCCGCCGTTTGGTCTGTTTGCGGCTTCATTAATTCTTCATATTGTTCAATATTTGATTTAGCAACTAATGAACAGGTTGAAAATAAAAACTCAATCCAATCAGAAATAAAAGAATCACTCGAAGTTAAGCAAAAATTCCTCGTAAATGTTTTATCACGGTCTACGACCTCGCCGCTTTGCGGCTTTATTTTGACAGTTGATGATACCATAAATGGTTTTAAGTAAGCGTTCAAAGTTGCACATTCAGAAAGTGAAGTTCTTCTTTAGTCTCTAATGTTTCGAAGTCAAAAGTAATATAATATCTTGTTGGTTTATAATATTCCTGCAAATTATGTGCTAATAGCCATTGATATATCTTCTGTTTCGTGATATGTGGGCATATGGTTGTTGTGTGTTTTGCAATTGAACGTCTTGAATTAATCTTCCATTATTTTCTTTACATTTCTCACAATGTTTTAAAAATCTTCTTTGGTTTTTTCCTTTCTGGATCATCACGGATAGAATAAACTTCTTCTTTGCAATATGGACAAACTTTATAGCCGGTGAGTGCTTCAACGTCTGTTATTCTGTCAGCGTGAAGTTTTCCACATGGACTCTGTGTTAATAAAATATTTACTGTTTCAAATTCTGGATCTATCATTATTGATTCCACTAATGGAAAGTCTACCTTGTTAATGTCTACGTCTTCTGGTTGAGGGTCACAATAATAAAAAATCAATATTAACGTTTAACATTCTTGCTAACCTCTCACTTTCTGATGAAATGTCAAACCCTTCATATGCATCTATTGCTTCATTTAAATAGCTTCTACGAGTTTTAGGATTAACACCATCAGGAATGTTATAGAAGCGTTTAAATAACCTTCTACCTTCTGCTCTAATTTGATTATCATTCATTTTAGCTGTTCCGTTTTTGTTCATTTATGTAAGAATAAAAATTAAAAAAATAAATAAAAATAAAGTTTATTTTTTTAAAGTCCAGGGCTAAAGTCCATAAAATGAATTAAGAACACATAAATTTTTATCATCCGCGACGTGACGAATACATTTTAATTTACTCAAGAATGCGTACCCTGATACATTAAATCTAATTCCTGTCTTATTTAATTTCACAACTTTGAAAAGGAATGTATGAATAGCTATAAAATGATGAGATGATGTTTTATGGGTTGCTTCCATTTTTTCTGAAATAAATGAATAAATATAATGCTTATACGTTTTCATATCTTTTATGTTCTTAATAATGAATGGTATAGACCTTTCAACTTCATCTTCCTTCGGTGCTGTTCTTTCATATGAAACATTATTGGTATCTTCAATAATGAAACCACAATCGCATAAAATTTTATATGTACCAATTGTTTCTTTTGATATTTTATCTAACAAATCAAAAACTTTATCAACACCTGTACATTTATTTAAATAATAATTTGTGTAAATATCATGGTCTTCTTTCTTAATTGTATTTGTTGCATATGTTACATTTTTCAGTGCTTTTTTGAATTTTTCAGAATCAAGAGGAGGTGAAAGTAATATACATGGATAATCTCCATCGTCAATAAATTGTAACTTATGTTTACGAATAAATTTAGTACCTTCTTCTGAAAGTGTTTCATCTATTTCACCATCTAATAAATTTTGTGTTGATTCTGAGACATAATTTTTATATCTTTCTTCATGAGATTTTTGAACTGCTGATTCTGAAGCTGGATATTCATTAAACCCTCTACTTCATTTTCATTATATTTTTCAACTTCTCTTAATTCCTTAATTTTTTCATCTATTTCATCTCTTATTTTTTCCAGTCTTTCAATTTCATCATATTCATCATCTTTAATCCGTTCTTCATAATATTCAGGGAAAACATCATGTTCTTTAGGTTTTTCTTCTTCAGATGTGGGATATAAGAAATTTATAACATCATCTTTATTCATTTTTCTATCATAATCAAACTCATTTAAAAACTCCGCGAATTTTTGACAATTTCTTAAATAATATTTACTGACCTCATAACCCGCTTCCTCTAATATATCCTTTATTTCCTCATTTGTGAATTCCAATTTTTTAACGTCGTTAGTCTTGACACTCATTTTCATACAAATTAAAAAAATAAATTATTCAAAAATGTAAGACATGAATTTTTAAAGTTTATTTTTTTATTTTTTTTATTTTTTTTATTTCATTATGTATGGGTTTAGTGTAAATGTCTTACAATTTTGAAAATTTTTTAAATCTTGATTTATTCAAAAACGTAAGAATAAAAACCGTAAGAATCATACATTTTTTACTTCATATGTTAAAAAAAATGATACAAAATCACTCGATATTGTATGAATTCTTACGTTTACAAAAAAAGTCACAAAACCCGCATTATATACTACTAAGAGGTGCGATCTCACCTGTTTTTTCACCTCTTGAATTTTCATGAATTTTCCCGAAATAAAAAATAAAGTTAGTTTTATTTTGTATGTAAAGACATGATTTCAGGGATTTTTTTGACGAAGTGAACGTTGACACTTCGTCAAAAAATAACAGTTATATAATGAAAAAGTGTCATTTTTTTTCATTTTTTTCATTTGACGAGAATGTCGGGTAGATGGTTAGATCTCACCTGTTTTCTCACCTCTTGAATTTGTCGAAACTTCTTCGTACATGTTTTGTCATGACTTCTTCATCGTAATGTTTTTGTCAAGACTTCTTCGTAAATGTTTTGTCAAGACTTCTTCGTATATGTTTTTGTCAAGACTTCTTCGTACATGTTTTGTCAAGACTTCTTCGTACATGTTTTGTCATGACTTCTTCGTAAATGTTTTGTCAAACATGAACGTAAATGTTTTGTCGAAACTTCTTCGTACATGTTTTGTCAAGACTTCTTCGTAAATGTTTTGTCAAACATGAATCGTAAATGTTTTGTCGAAACTTCTTCGTAATGAGTGTAAAGGACCCAAAAATAATGTTTAGGTGAAGAGGTGCGATCTCACCTGTTTTTTCACCTGTTTTTTCACAACCGTTTTACATGGTAAACGTTATTTTTACATTATGACACGAAGTGAAGGTTGACACTTCGTCAAAAAAATCCCTGAAATCATATCTTTTATACAAAAAAATGAAATAAAACTAACTTTATTTTCTGACTTTCACAAAAGACCAAAAATAAACGCTTTACATGTATTTTTCAGCAACTTCGTCAAATAATTTTATAGCTTTATCTATCTCATCTACTTCAAACGTTTCTTTACCTTTTATGGGAGCACCATACATTTTCTCAAACTTTTCAAGTAGTTCTGTTTCTGCAGCTCTCATATCATTAGCAAACACAACCTTGACTCTATTGACTGTACTGTCATATCTTTGAGTTATATTATATGTTCTTCCTATCTTATATCTCTTTGTGTTGAAGTCCTTCGGTTTCTGAACGATGTAAAGTAAGCCTTCACTGCAACGTTCCGTATCGAATGAACCATATGTTATGAAGTTATATCCAACAACTGGGTCTAACCATAACAAAACTATTGGTATAAGACTTTTGTCGATGAGATATGCTGCAGTTCCATAGAATTTTACCGATATCATAAGCTCAGGATTTCTTGTCAAAATTTTCTGAGTAGAAGCAATTTTAACCCAGTCGTGTGTTTTCTTTCCAGATGGAAATATAATGTCTGACAAAGAATATTTGTTGTATTTCTTTGAGTATCTTACGTTTAAATCACCTATTCTAACCACTTTGGTGTCATTGTCTATCTTTTTAACTGTTTCAAACTCAATGTTTGACATATCTTTCTTTAAGTCAGCATAGTCGTTTCTCATACGTTCTATCTCTTTGACGGAGTAGTTATATTTCCTCATTGCTGCTTTACATTTTGAACATTGCGGGTTCATTTTTGCGTTATATTCTGAAACCTTACCTGCTAAAACAACTAAAGCGTCAATGGTTTTCTTTAAATCTGAAGCTGCTGGTTTTATCTGTTTGTTCCATACCTTACCTCTTCTATCTTTATCTCTTATCTGCCATACACATTCAGCAACTAACGAAACAAAGTTGTCGTAGGTCTTAAATTCTTCAGATTTATATATGTCAGAAACATTCTTATATACTATGTCGCAATCTTTGTCCATAACCTTATGGTTGCAATGAAATCCTAGAAACTCATAGTTTACCTTTCGTATGAACTTCTTTATTTCTACTGAGTCAGTTGCTTTGACTTCTATTTCATCGAATTCAGGAATAGTGAGCTTTTGCTGCTGAATTTCAGGCAATTTGGGTAAATGGTCGATGAGGTCCTGCATTTCATAAAGATATTCTTCATTTTCTTCATCTTTCGCACTACAGTCTAAATTACTTGTTAAAAGTTCTTGCTTTATCTTCTGGATTTTTGTTTCGAAAGTATATGAAGAAGGAATGAAGCTTTTCATCTCTACCAACATTGACGTAGGATTCATGACTAACGAGTTTGGTGCTGTTGTTTGAATTGTTTTTGCTTCGACTGACATTTCTGTTCTTACATACAAAATAAAAAAAAATAAAAAAATAAAACTAACTTTATTTTTTATTTCGGGAAAATTCATGAAAATTCACGAGGTGAAAAAAGAGGTGAAAAAACAGGTGAGATCGCACCTCTTCACCTAAATTATATTTTTGGGTCCTTTACACTCATTACGAAGAAGTCTTGACAAAGCATGTACGTTCATGTTTGACAAAACACTTACGAAGAAGTCTTGACAAAACATTTACGAAGAAGTCATGACAAAACATTTACGAAGAAGTCATGAAAATTCAAGAGGTGAAAAAAGAGGTGAAAAAACATTTACGAAGAAGTCTTGACAAAACATTTACGAAGAAGTCTTGACAAATTCAAGAGGTTAGAAAACGTGTTAGAAAACGTGTTAGATCTAACCATCTACCCGACATTCTCGTCAAATACAAAAAAATACAAAAAAATGACACTTTTTCATTAGATAACTGTTATTTTTTGACGAAGTGAACATTGACACTTCGTCAAAAAAAATCCCTGAAATCATATCTTACATACAAAAAAATACAAAAAAATGACACTTTTTCATTAGATAACTGTTATTTTTTGACGAAGTGAACGTTTGCACTTCGTCAAAAAAATCCCTGAAATCATGTCTAACATACAAAAAAATACAAAAAAATGACACTTTTTCATTAGATAACTGTTATTTTTTGACGAAGTGAAGGTTGACACTTCGTCAAAAAAATCCCTGAAATCATATCTTTTATACAAAATAAAAAAATAAAACTAACTTTATTTTTTATTTCGGGAAAATTCATGAAAATTCACGAGGTGAAAAAAGAGGTGAAAAAACAGGTGAGATCGCACCTCTTCACCTAAATTATATTTTTGGGTCCTTTACACTCATTACGAAGAAGTCTTGACAAAACATTTACGAAGAAGTCTTGACAAAACATTTACGAAGAAGTCTTGACAAAACATTTACGAAGAAGTCATGACAAAACATTTACGAAGAAGTCATGAAAATTCAAGAGGTGAAAAAACAGGTGAGATCTAACCTCTTCACCTAAATTATATTTTTTGGTCCGGGAACAACTTTCTCTCAATAGGGGCAGTAGCATAATCTTTGCGTAAGCGGTTCAGACCTTCTTCGAACTCTTGGTCTCTCTTCGATTTGGATTGAGATTGGAATTGCTGGGGTGGAGCTTGCTGGAACATCCAAGGGTTGGGGAAGTCAGGCATAGGCTGAGGAGGAGGGTAGTTCGGGAAGCCTTGTAGTGGGTAGTAACCTTGAGGTGGAAATTGGTAGTAATTTGGTGGAGGGACTTGCTGGAACTGAGGTGCAGGGGCTGGTTCTTTAGGTTCCTCTGGTTTGGGAATGGACTCGGTTGGTGGGACGTGAGACATTCGTTTGTGTCCTGTTGTCCGGAAAAACTTTTCCTGTTGTCCGGAAAAACTTTTCCTGTTGTCCGGAAAAACTTTTTCTGTCGGAAGGAAAAATTTTTTCTGTCGGAAGGAAAAATTTTTCCTGAAGTTCGACCAAAAAGTTCTCAATTTTCGAAAATTTGAATGGTTTACGGACAGACAACTGGAAAATTTTTTCCTGTCGGAAGGAAAAATTTTTTTCTGTCGGAAGGAAATTTTTTTCCAGTTGTCGGGAAAAATTTTTTCTGTCGGATGGAAGGACTCGGAATGCCAGAAGGATTTGACGAGGCAGTTTACCTAATTGAAATTAACAACTGCGTAAAAGACTACTTGCGCAAGGTCATGAAGCCCAAGGTCAAGTTCACCACTATTTCTGGAAGGGCTGCCTTGAATCTCGAGATTTCGACTGGAATTCCAATTCAAATACCAGAAAACACTCCTTTCGACGACATAAAGCAAGCAAAGAAAGAAGCTCTTCTCAAGTTCTTTGCCAAGCGTCCTTGGATACTACTTCCAAACAGAGAGAGTCCAATTCCACGAATTATACAAATTCTCAGAGCACTGTTCCACTTCTCGGGTCAGCCATTCTACATAACCTGTGAAGGCGACATCCAACCAGCTCAGTAAACATCTCATTTTAACTCACTTTTTTATGTTTTTTGTGAAAGTGTCAAAAATAAATTGTTTTCATGAGTTTTCTACGATGTTAGAAAAAATGTTATTTTCTAATATCTTCACATTCAATACTTTTTCAGCACTTTTCCGTAGTTATATATGAAATACAATTCGAGATAAAAGTCATAGTACAATGGAATAATATGTTGCACACCATTTGTTGTGAACCAAACTTGAAAGTCAGAGAAACTGTTACTAGGTGGTTCGTAGAATTTAGAAGCAAAGTCATAAAAGTCCTTACCAATACATAGAAAACTATTGTTGCTTGAACTGAAACTTGCATGACACATAACATTTTGAGGGTCAAACACGTTTCTATAAACTGTCAAATCTGCTGGTGGAAGTATAAATTGAAATGGACCATCTGGTGGTAATGGTTCGTTCTGGTTTAGTAACCGAAGAAATTGTGCCCAAGAACGTTTGTCTACTTTCCAAAATAAAAACTCTGTATCTCTTGGAGGGTTAATTTCAATCTTTTGAAATGAAACGGTGGAGTTCATCTTGTCATATTCTAGTTTCAGATAGTATGTTCCATTTAGTAAAGAGTCGTATTTTTCTTGAAATTCCCAATAATATTTGTTCATTTGAGTTTGAAAGTCATTTAGAGTTTTCTCAAGACTTTCGTCTGAACGAACTGTAAAGATCCTCATTTCGTCAAATTTGTCTATTAGACCACCAGAACCTTTATACTGCCCATGAATATACTGCGAACATAAATGCGTTAGTTCTATTTGAAAACAAAACTCTTCTAAAATCCTATTGCCTTTGCATCTGAAGGACTTTGAGAGCCAAACGAATTGGATAGTCAAACCTGTATATTCGGGATGAAATTTCTTCATCTGAAATAGTCCTACCAGCATTTGTAAAGATATAGTCTAACGGTTTTGTATCTGCTACTTTTGTTCTTTGTTTTTTCAACCTGAAGCATTTAATATATGTAAAAATATATTGTTTAAAATAGTATGCCATTTCATATTTTCTCATCTAACAAACAAGTTTCCCAACGGTCTTCTCCAACAAACTCAGCGTACATTTCAAATAAAATTAAAAATGTCACTTTTTTTAAAATAAATTTTTTACTTCATGCAATGTTTTATTTCTGTGCCGTCTTCAAGTATGCCCCAGTACTTACGCTTGGAGAGGACATGAACTTCGGAAAATACCTTATCTAGCTTTAAAACAGCCCATCTTTTCACCGACCATTCCCATTTCAATGAGTTTGTTGTACCCTTCTTCGTTCGTCATGAGTGCGTCAATGTTCTCATAGTAAACCTTCACTTTGGATTTGACTTCGGAGAAGAATTTGTTGTAGTTGTCAAGGACTGCCTTTGCGAACTGAGGGTAAGACCAATGTTCGACAATAGGTTTTAATGTGGTTACTAAGCCACTTTGACCTTGAGTGAATTCGTACTTCAAAACAAAAGGAGAAACCTTTCAACAAAGTTTGTCGACCTTCTCATAATGTTTACTCTTCATCTCTTGAGGTTTCTTAATGGAATATCCCCATGTCGAATTCATAAGCAATTTGAGTGTCATTGCAAGTTTGGGGTTTGAAGCTTTCCTAATATCATACAGTTGTTGTATGATTCTTTTCCAACTGTATAGTTTCCTTCCCGGGAACTCACCATCTTCGTTTGGAATTCCAGTCGGAATATATTGGACAAACCTCATGTATGCAGCGTTAAGGTGACATAGTATATCTTTTCGTTTGAGTCGAACTTGTCGCAACCAATTGGTCCAGTTTGTGGAAATTCAAGTGAGTCTCTTATCTTCTGAGAAACTTCTCCTGTTATCTCATAAACATCGTCGAAGCAACCTGTTTCATATAAAACCTTCTGACCTAACTCAGATGCTCTCCAATACAATTTGACGTCAATTGGATGTCTCAATGGAAGTTTGTTTATAGCATCTTGAAGTTCTTGCAACCTCATTGGAAGTTCTTCTGGTTCAGGTTGGTATCCGAACAATCCAACTCCTTGTGGAATTGTGTACTTCTTTTGTACTAGAACTTTGTCTGGAACAACTTTTGGTCTTGCTAACAATGAAAAGTTTGTTTCGTCTTTTGGTACAAAAGTTTCTGTCAGCTTGTCATCTGGAATTGGTTCCAACAAACCTTTCTCGAAAAGAATGTTTACAGCTCTGACAATGTTGCACTTGCCTTTTCCGAACAATGGGTTTGTAAGACTTTCGTTCAACATGAAGTGGTTGTGGACAATTGCAATCTTCAACCATGGTAAATTGAACTCAACAACATAGTCGTCATGTTGAAGAACCTTTAGCTGGTAGGTATGTTGACTCGGATATTGACATTTGCCAACGGTGCAATTTTTGCCAATTGACCTCTGAGAATGTACCTTGTCTTCACACATGACTCAAGATACTTCATCTTCTCATCTGTAACAAGACCAGAGTTCCTGAGACATGTAAGAATGCAAGGTTCATTGACAATTGTTTCAATTGAATTGTAAATTCCATACCTTGTCAAGTCAATGTCAGACTTATTTATGAAGGGGAAGTATCCAGCATGTTGTCTGACTGCTTGAGGGTTAGGTTGGTACCATTCGAACTTGACACTTGCAATTCCTTCAATTGCATTCAAAATGTCTGAGTCGGAGTCAACCATTTGTTCTCTCTTTGTAGTCTTGAAAGCGTCAAGAAGTTTTGCAGCTGTTTGTTCATTGCCATTTGCATAGTAAATGTGACCATCCAAATCTGTTATGGTCAATCTGAGATTGTGTCCTTTCTTATTTCCGTCTTGAATTGCAGCAAGTACTCCCATGAAGCCTTCTTTGTTCTTTCCTTCGTCAAAGTTTACTGTAAAGGTTCGACCAGATGTAATTTGACTTCTAACTTCACGATACTTTTCATATGCATATCTTGTTCTTTCCATGGGAGCATGACCATCCTCTGCACTACCTTTTTTCCTTCTCAAAGGATGCAATTGTTCGTCATGTTTCCAGTAGAATCTGGCAAAGCCGTCGTGTCTTCAACTTGAGGTTCACTAACATCGAAAGGCATGTCCATAAGACGTTCTTCTTTCTAACCTCTCTAGTCTGTTTGGATAATTGGCACGTGCTGTTTCCAAATCCATTTCGTAGCGAAGACCAGACAATTTGTCATAGACTTTTATGGGTCTTCCCTTCCTATATTTAAAATTCTTCGAAACTCTCCAACCATATCTTTGCAACTCTGCTTTTATTCTAGCAGATTTTCTATCCATTCTATATGGGGGCATTTTTATAAAAATAAAAAAATATTTTTTCTTTACTTTACATAACCGCCTGCTGCCATAAGTCTTTGACGCCAACACATACCAGCTAATGAAGGTTGACTTGGTTTAGTTTGGAAACTAAACTTTGGTTTTGGTTTATCTTCAGTTTTTGGTTTTTCTTCTTCTATCGGTTTTTCGTCACTTTTCGGTTTCTCTGACTTTACTTCACTTGCAGGAACAGTTGTGTCGTCAACATCTTCATAAATATCATATGCCATTTGTTTTTGTTTTCCTTTCAACTTTTTGTGTTTGTTGTAAAGTTTAGAATATTTCGACTCTAAGTCAATGAGATGTTCTATAATGAACTGTTGGTCAGTGAAGTAAACTTTTCCATCTGTTGTCTCGAAAGCTCCTTCAGACTTCAATATTTTATTTGTGAGAGTCTGTTTCTTTTTTGAGATACTTGCCATTCCATTTTTATGAAAAGTGACTTTGTAGTTAGGGTTTGTATTTCCAGACCTGGCACTTTCTATTATTGAATTTTTCTCTTCATCGGTAAGTTCTTTGACAGGTTTTGACAATGGTTTCTGAACTTTTTGTTTGTGGTGTCAAATCTACCGTTTCAACTTCTTCGGTCATTTCATCTCAGTAAAAAATTTTAGTTTGGTTTGTTTTCAACTGGTTGTTTAGGTTTTTTAAGTCGGTCTAAAACTTCCTGAGGTATAGGAAGAACTTGACAAACACGTTGTGTAACTGCTGGAAGCCGACAAATCCATCTTGAACCCATTTGTCTCAATGCTGTATTGTTCATTTCATCTCAGTAAAAAACTTTACATTCCCCACGTTTGAGGTGGTTGAGGTTGGTTATTGTTTACCCACTGTTGTGCATGGTTATATCCTCTGTTAAAGAATCTTTCACCTTGGTCCATATAGTGTCCTGCTTGGTTATAGTAGTCATTTGCTTTGTTATAATAGTTTCCTGCTTGTCTTCCTACATTGTCCATCCATCCTTGAACTTTTCCTCTTGTTTCAGGATTTGGAATAAGATTTGTTGCATCTCGTGCTACATCCCAACCTTTCTGTACAGTTTGTATAATAGGTTGTGCTTTCTCTTTAAGTATACCTAATGTACTCAAAATCTTCCTTCCAACTCCAAATACACCTCTGGCTATTGTTCCCACTGCGGGCAAAAATCTGGATGCAACTCCTGCTAATGCGCCAAATAAACCCATTTCTTATAGGATAAAAAATGACGAATCCAAACAAGGACCCCTATGTTTCTAAAGCGACAAAGAAAGCACTCATGATAAAAATCTTTAGTTCAACACCAAATGCTTGGTTTATGGATATCTTGGAAAACATTCCGAGGTATAGAGAAGATGGACCACCATACTGGCTAATATTTGTCGGTCAAAACACAAGATACTGTGAAGCCATACCATTACAGTCCAAAGCTATTTTAGATATCTTAGCAGCTTTGACAATATTCGTTGACAAATACCATCCAACAAAACTGACATCTGACTGTGAAAGTTCTTTCAAATCAGATGATGTAAAAAACTATCTGCGTTCAAAAAATGTAAACCAATATTTCATTGTCGACCAAAACCATTCTGCTCTTGGTGTCATTGACGGTTGTATAAAAATGTTAAGAGACTTAAACCAACCACAAGGTGGTGAAGCAAATGAAATGTCATATGACGACAAATATAGACACTTCTCCATGGCAAAGATGAGACAAGTTTTAAATATTTACAATAGCCGTAAACAAAAAGGTTTGGGAAACCACTCCCCCGAAGAAATGAAAAACAACCCTGACTTAGAGAAAGACTATATATTTAATAATTTAGTCAAAAGAGACAAACAAGAAAGAATGCCGGGCTTCAAACTTCAGAAAGGTGACAAAGTAAAAATAGAAATACCTAAACGCGACCCATATGAAAATACTATTGACTATGACAACAATGGGAACCCGACAGGTACTCACATTCGTGTTCGTAAAAATAGAAGAAAGTATACAAGAGAATATTATGAAGTTTTAGGCAAACATGGCAAAATGTACACACTGCAAGCAGAAGATAAAACTACTATTGTCAGACCTCGTTTCAAACTTGTCAAAGTTCAAGGTGGTATACTTTCAAAGACAGTTCCTAACAAATATAAGACAACTCCTGACGAATATGCTAAAGAAGTTGAAAATGACGACTAAGCATTTCTATACCATGCGTAAACTGTCATGTAAGGTGGCATGTATTCTTTACTTTGTCCCGTTGTTTGCGTATATCCTGAAACGAAATGTGTATGGTTTCCATCTCCCTCAGTGTTACTCCAGTAACAATTTATAGCAAACTTAACGTTGTCTTTAACATCATATCCTTTACCTTTTGTCATTGCTGACCAATCCCAATATCTATGCTTATGCCAACCTGCTTGAGATGTACTTAAATCTATGTAGTGACTATGTGCAGGTAAATTTTCACCTGAAATCGTTTTACTTCCACCTGTTTCCTTTGAAGAGTTTGCACAATACAAAAACCTGTCGACTATTTGAGTCCAAGTTCCAAAACCAAGTACTACTTCTGGTCTGGTAGAGTTCATTGACGTATAAATAGAGCCTATAGGATATAATGTTTGAAGCATTTCTGTCTTTAATGTTTGAAGCTCTGTTTTGTCTGCTTTCTTGTCATATAAATCTTGAGCAGTGAATTTAATATTATGTTCATCCTTCATGACATAAACATCTTTACATCTAATGTTTTTCATCGTCGTTATGTCGTCATCCGATGTTAAACCTTGTGGAAAGTTAGGAGGTTTACAATATAATGCATCCCCACCAGTTTCTTCAACCGTTCCTTCAATACTTTCTATAGCAACAGTTGTGAAGAAATCATGTGTATGGTTCTTGTCTGCTTTCTTCTCTAACTCATCGTTAACATAAGTTTTATCTGCTTTAAGGTCTAAACATCCTGAAACCCATCCTGTATCGGCTTTAGTTTTTAAAATCTTCGATGTCCATTCATGATACCATTCAGCCCTTTCTATAATTTCTTTATCTTTTTCATCCACATATTCCTTATCTGCTTTCTTCTCTAACTTACTAGCCACATATTCCTTGTCTGCTTTCTTTTCAAGGCTAACGTTTAAGTCTGTTATTTCAGATATAGAATGTGTATGAGTCTTTTTAGAATATTCGTTTTCAGCTCTTGTCACTTCACTTGACATTTTATTGTCAACATATGTTTTGTCTGCTAGTTCAGGATGAGTATGTTCTTTTGTTGCATAAGCATTGTTAGCTCTTTCTTCTTCTTTTGCTATTGCATCGTCTACATATTCTTTGTCAGCTTTGTTGTCAACATCTGCTTTCAAAAGAAGTTCATTTATAGGTTTCTCGTTTAAAGTTCCTTTTGTTGGATTTATACAGACAGTATTGTTCTTCTTGTCTTGAAATAGAAACTCATCTGTCATTGGGTTTAATGTCAGTTTTAAGTTTCCTTCTTTCAATGACTCAGATATCTTAGAATAGTTTGAAAAGTTTGTTGTGTTCTTATTTAGAGCTTGCATAATGAGTTGTCGGTTGTGTTGTATTTCTCTCATAGACGCTGTTTCATTTGACATTTTTATTCTAGATAAAATATGCTTCCAATAGAAAAAGAAAATTCAAGAGTTGCTACAACTAAACCATTAGATGAACTTTTTACTAATGTCGGTCAAAAGTTTGAGACAGAGACCGTAAAGCATGAAGGCTATCGTTTTGACTACCCATTAAGATGGCTAAGAGACCCATCTGTCACAAAAGCTATTGGCTTTCGTAGAATGAAGTTCATTTCAGAAGCCATACATGGTTTCCCATTTACGGTCGGTTTTGAAGTTCGATACTATAACAAAGAAAAACGTATGTATGAGAAATTTGAACAGGGAAAACTTTTACAAGTTAGTTTGCTTGTAAATTTAGAAACAACTCTTCAAGCTTTTCAAGAAAAAATAAACGATATCTATATCGAATATGCAAACCAGTATAACATTGACGAGGGGAGTACCATCTCGATATTATTTATGACAGGAAAAATGCAACTGTTAAAATCAATAGAATAGAAGACCTTGGAGAAAACGTTTATATTTCTACAAAATATAACAACTTGGCATGTATAGATTTATGAGGATGTTAAATCAGCCTGCAGCATATCCAGTACACCCAGACTTTTATGAAGTCGAAAACCCTAATGGAACATATGAAAATGTTTTCGACCAAGATGCTATTATTGTTCATGCTTCATTTTCTGGCGCCCAAAACTCTTTCTTATGCTTGGCAAATGACTTTTACGAAAAACCTACAAAGTTATACGAACCACCAAGTGGAAGTATTTCAGACTTTCAAGTATGGTTTACTACAGATGGAAGAAAAAGAATAATTCCATTATACCATGCGTTTTACTTAGAACTTAGTTTCATATACAACTACTATCGAACGGTAAAAATATAATTTTTTAATACGGTTGAGGTGTTGGATTTGGTTGCCAACTAGACTGTGGTGCAGGTTCAGGCTGTTGTATAACAGGAGCTTGTTCTTCTGGTTCAGGGTCTTTAGGTATATAATACCAACAAACTGACCTACTCTTTTACCAATATTTTTGACTCCGTTCCAAATTCCTCTTCCTACGGTTTTTATTCCATTCCATATACCTCTTCCAACATTTCGAAAGAAGTTTCCAATACTACTGAAGAAACCCATTTTACTATATGTAAAAATCTAATGTCCGCCTAGTCTCTTACGTTTCCTGTTGAGTTCCATAGCATTCTTTAACTGAAGCTCATACATTCTGTTTCTCCTCTGGTAGAAAACATATTCTGGGTCAACTCCTGTGTTCGCGTCATCTGCATAAAGTTGTTTATATCCCACTTCAGGGTTTGTATAAAACTCTTTCCATCTCATATTTGCATACCATGGTGGCAAACCTAACGCAGCGTCATTTGACATGGCAGTTTGCATTTGTACATCTGTTGGCACTTGACCATAGTTTGCCATTGCAGTTTGTATTCTAACTTCATTTGGAATATTCTCTGGGTTTGGTTGTCCAGGTTGCTGTGCATTCGCTAAGTTCTGTGCGTCCATTTAATATTAGATAAAAATATCTCTTACGAGTACATATACTGAACATTTGCAGGCATTGGTTCATCTTCATATTCTCTGTACTTTTCTGCCACGTCAAATAAATAAATGACACAATGGAAAAAACCTAAAACAAGTAGTCCTATTTCAAACCACATTTACTTACTAATAAAATTTCTTTGTTATGACACTTTCTCCGGTTTATAGGACCTCTCTCATATTCTATCTTGTCATATCTAAACTCATAGTCATGTATGTCCTCTAGCCATCTCATAACGGTTTCCAAACCACTTTTATCGGATGTAAAGTAAAAGCATGGATGGTTATGTAAAACGTCTAAAGTTTCTAAAGAGTCTCTCAAAGTATACTTCCTTGGAACGCCCGTAACTTTTCCTGTAGCGACGTTAGACCCTTACTTGTCCGGACAAAGTTATACTATTTTGAGTGCTCTACAAAAAAGTCAACAACGACGACTCTCAAAAATTTTTTATGGGCTAGAGGGCGCAACGCGCCTGGAAGCCCATCCCAAGAAAAAAAAAACTTCATTTATACTAAACATCTTCAGGGCTAGAGGGCACGAAGTGCCTGGAAGCCCCACTACCTTTTTTTTTTTTTTTTTTTTTTTTAACTGTTTATCAGATTCTACATATGAAATATAATTTTAAAAAAATGTTTAGTTAAGTTTTGAAGGTGGTTCGTAAGCACCAAACAGTTCAATCATAGGTGTATACAATCCGCCTCTTCTTGTCACATTCCTCAGTCTAAATCTCACGTATCTAAACATCTGAGACAAGGTAGGAATGACCCAGGTGTGAGTTTTGTCGTTTCCTCCCATTTCAGAGTTTTCATCTTTCGAATCAATGTCAACCCACACTTTCTTGTCTTCGCTGCCTTCCCACGTGTAGCTGACAGGATAATCCCAGTAACTAGAGTCTGTTCCTGAACACATCGTGTAAGCGTTTATTGCAACACGAGCGTTTTTGAAGTCAAAACAAACCCAAGAATCTTCCTGCTCGACTAAGTACCATTTTGAAGCAGGACTGGAGTATTTGATGAGATTGGCAGGTGATACTTGGCATTCCTCACGAGAGACACTCACTTCTATAACTCCTTCTTCGATCGGATTTTTTCCATTCGTAACGTGCTCGGTAATATAGGTAAATATGCCTTTAAATGGCTCGCCGTTGAAAGGAATACTAATGTCGTGATGGATATAGCGATGTTTGAGGCGTAATGGCTTATGTTGGCAAGTAATTCTTTTAACTATGGCTTCCCAGAGGCCAGGGATCTCTGTAAAGTCTTGGGGATTCACGTATGTTGAGAGATTGCTGATTAAATCGTTAGTAAGGCTTTGATATTGGACATATGATAATAATTGTTTGAATTCTGGGCCTCTTTTTGAGATAAGCTCAGTAATAAATGAATATAATGAGTTTTCTGATTCAATTTTGAGATCAGGATGACTAAATAACTTCTTAAGTGTATCTAAACTTAAATCGAATAGAGATTCTTTCTTTAATGAGTAAAAATGTGATGCTATATACTGTATTTCTTTCCTTGTATCCCTTCCAAGTTCCATTTTCTCTTCAAAAGTCGAAACTACGTTTTGATTAGTTAATCTCGTTGTATTTACAAATGAAAATGCTTCCATCATTTCTGTATTCTCTAATAATGATCCGACTTTTCGTAAAAATATCGATTCTTGAACATTTGCGTCAACTTCAAATCCTTGCATTAATTGTATGACAAGATTAAAGTAATCATCAGGATCAGGGATGTCTATAGTAAACGTATTTATAGTGCTATCTTCCGCACGCATTCTTGCTATCAAAGGTGAGAAAAATTCTGCAAAATATGAATTACAAGTATAATTTTTCTTGCCAACAATAAAAGTAAAATCTTCCTCTAGTTGTTGTGCTGCAACTTTCTTAAGCCCATCAGCAGAAAGATAAAGTGGAGAAGTATCAAACATTTTTGGAGAAAAAGTGACAAGATTTTAATCAAATCATTTTAATTCAATATCATCTTTAAAATAACTTTTTAATGATAAAAACTCAAATAACATAAAAATTTGACTTTATGAAAGAAAAATTGAATCATCAAATGAAGAATGGAGCCTGCAACACTTATTTCTAGAAATGTATTGATTAAGTTATAGCAATTTATCAAATTATTATCGAAATAATCATTCAATTTCTGATTCAATTTATTGAAATTAATGATGGCATATTCATAGTATTACAAATATATTTCTATCAAGTAGAGTTATAGCATTACAATGATCTTAAATGTGTTTACAATATAAAATTATGCGAATTATGCAATAAAGAAATGTGATTTGTATTAAGTATACTATATTATAATGTAAGAAAAAATAACACATATTAAAGTTTCCGAAAAGTACAAACATGTTTATTAATATATGAATAAAAATATATTATTCTAAGAAGCTCTTAAGTTGAGAATTTCTATTTCTTAGGTCATTGATTTCTGACTCCATAGCTGCAACTTGTTCTAATAATGATCTGGAGCGTTTTTCATCTTCATCTTCTTGTTTTGGAACAATTGAGGATTTAGATATAAGTATTCTTATTCGTGCAATATCTTTTTGAACTTCTTTGATCTTCTCACGGTTATGAGTGGCAATATTTGAATACATTGATTCAGCAGTTTGAATTTCAGCAATTTGTTGATTGATATCATCTTCTAACTTTCTTCTTTCACTCTCGTATTTCTTTGATATTTGATCTAATCTTTCCCGGTGCATTTTCTCTATATCTGTAATTTCTTGCTTAAATTTCTTATTTGTATCATGAGATTCTTGGGCCTGGAAGTTCTTCTTGGAATTTGTGGCTTCAATTTGTCCAGCAACATTTACAATTTGCTGATTTCTTTGTGTAATTAATTTACTAATTGCAGAGTCAATAGAATCAACAATCGAAGCATACTTCTCTGAGAGCTTCTTTGCTCTTGTAAATCTGTATTGTTTATCATTTAGGTCACCTGAACCTATGGATTTAGAAATAAATTCTTCTGTATCAAAAAGAGCAGTATTTAACTCATTATAAACATATTCAAGCTCGGTTTTATGTTGAGTTTTTAGTTTGTTTGTAGCTTCGTTCGTTTCATTAACGATTTTTGAAATTTCTTCGTTATAATCTTTTCTGCTATTATCTCGTTGAAAAATAAGTGCATCTATCTCTGACTTGTACTTTAGATCATCTTCTCGTATTTTCTTTTCGACTTCCAAAATTTGATTATGAACTTCTTGCAATTCTCTGTTTGTGTCATCTATTTGCTTCTTTTTGAGCTCGACAATCTCTTCAGTAGTTAAATCTACTTCTTTCCGTGAATTTGCTGAACGTTTATTAATCCATGAATCCATTATCTAAAATTTTTAGTGTTTCCCCCTTTTATTAATGTAAAATGTGGCATCTTTAACTTCTTGATACTGAAACCAGATCAATCAATAAAGCAACTCCAAATATGTTCGAAAATAAGCCAAAATACAAGAGTTAGTTCAGCAAATCGCTTCCAATTGAACAATTTTGTTCATCAAGCCATTTCACTGTACCATTGGCATTCATCAATCATCAGAGTCGATTTAAAAATTACTGTGCTTTTGATTTGATAGAGTCTTTGACAATAGAGGAATTATTTCGATTACAGAGCAGTAAACATATGCAACAACGGGAAAAATCTTATTATTACTACAAAATAAGTGCATTTGATCTAAAATTTTCGATCTTTACCATAAATTTATCTAAATTCAAATTGAGATTTGAATAAATAAGTAGATTTCTGTAATTTTACAGAATGTCTATGAATGCAACTGAAATGGTAAATAGTTTGTGAGCCTTACTTTGAATACTTACTGATTAAATTTTAGGAATATAAACAATATTTTTGCAAAATTAATGCATAAATCTTTTTTGACTAAAGAATAATATTTTTAAGATATAGTACATTATATTTAGCGATTCTTTTTCTCTTGAAAATTCCAAATTTTTTTCAAATTTTGAATTTTGATAAGAATTTTCTAGATTTTTTCAAACATATTTTTGAATTCGAAATTTTTTTCGAATAGTGATAACTCCTTTTTAGTTATAAATCAATATTATCAACATTTTATTTTTTCGAGAACGATAAAAACGGTTGGCCAAGGTCTTTCGTATGGGTCACACAGAAGGTCTTCGCCACGCCACACGTTACCTTTTCGCTCGCAAGTTCCGCAAGCACGGCGCTCCAGCACCATCAATCACCCTTCGTACATTCCGTATTGGTGATATTGTTGACATTAAGGTCAATGGTGCTCTCCACTCCGGCATGCCAAACCGTGTTTACCATGGTGCTACAGGCATTGTTTGGAACGTTTCCCCACATGCCGTCGGTATCCTCGTAAAGCGCCGCGTCAACAATCACATTGCTCCAAAGAGAATCTACGTCCGCACAGAGCACGTCTTCCCATCAAAGTCCAAGAACGATTTCGTTGCTCGTTGCCAGGCTAACCTCAAGGCTCACGAAGAAGCCAAGAAGGCTGGAACAAAGATCGCTCTTCCAAAGCGTCTCCCAGCTCAGCCACGCGCTTCTCATGTTGTCAAGCCAGAGCTCATCCAGACAATTACCAACGCTCCATTCCGTGAGAACTGGTAAGAAATATATAATTATTTCTCTTCATTTTAAAGAATGTGATAAATGGATATTATAAATTCACAAAATTTCATCTCCTTTATATACTTTCATTGCGTTTGGCCATGTAAGCTTTGATTTTTTTTTATGATTTTTTCCGAAATTGTCTATCGTTGACCATTTTTAAAATCTTGCCTTATATGCAATATCAAATCTAAAAATTTCTTTACATCGATCGCAAAATTGAAGAAAATGAATGAAGAAGATTGGGACACATTAAAAAAATATTCTGATATAGAAGAGCAGATTTGGAACAATGAAGATGATCTTGAACAGAAAATACAAGATTTCATAGATGAAAATGAAGATTCTTATGAAAGAATTCAATATATATTGATACAATCATCATTTTATCGACCAAAACAATTCCTTTCCCACATGAAAATCATATCAAACTTGATGGATATATACGGACTTACTACAAACGAATTAAACACTTATTTACCTAGTTCAATTTCAAACGATGCAGATATCTACGGAGAAAATACAATCGCGAACATCATTTTAACAGATAACGCCGATAAATTACTTGAAAAATTAGCAGATATAAATTTTAATATCAATGGAGTTGTCAATTTCAGTTTACACGGTCAACCAACAATGACTTATATAGATGCAGCTGCATTCTTCGGATGTCTCAATGTATTTAAGGTTTTACTTTGCAATAATGCTTTAATTACTACTCACACCTTCGAGAATTCTATTTGCGGAGGTAATTACGAAATCATACATCTCTCAAAGCTATTTAGTTCAAGTTTAGCTAAGAATCTTTCAATTGCAGTCAGATCTCATCAAAATGAAGTTATTGATTGGCTTTTACAAGATAATGATGATGTTCCTTTGAGCGCTTTAGATATTATTGCAGGATGCAACACAATTTTACTGTTTGATAAGAAAATTGATTACATTCAAAAAGGAATTTTACAATCATGTGTCAGAGCTGGTTATCCATACTTGAAATTAGCAGTATTGAATGGAGCAGTTGATAATAAATACTTGGCATTGGAATTATCTGTTTCTTCCGACAAATTAAATTATTTTAATTTATTAATTGAAAATTTGGACTTCAAACCAATCCAAATACTCCAAGTATGTCTTATGAGATATGAATTATTTGTAAAAACGTTCGAAAACTTCAAACCGAAGTTAAATTTAGAAAATGATATTAAATTTTTAATGCAAGAGTCAGTTTCACGGTTTCCACAGGTTGCCAAGTATCTCATTGATAATATAGATGATATTAGGTTCCGCTACAACAAGAACGAGACTCTTCTCCACATTGTAGCTAAACAATGTGTAAATCCTTTGATTATTGAAATTTTAGTTAAAAAAGGTTTCTTTGTTTCTGAGAAAAATGATGATGGAGACACTCCTCTTATTATTGCAGTAAGAAATAGAACTCTTAATGCTATTCCAACACTTATTAACTATGGTGCTGATCCATGGATTGAAAACAACAAAGGAGAATCAGCTTTCAAACTCGCAAACGATGATTCGACGATTTTAGCAATGCTTCAAACAAATTAGACTAAAAATCTTTTTTTATTATGTTTGTATGTAATCATATAATTAGAATGTTTTTTATTGATATTTATAGGATGAACTTAAGAGCATTGAGCACTTATATCAATATAATGTTAAGTACCAATCTCTAGTTGTAAGAATTTGGAATTGTTAATCTATATATTACAACGCTTATTGTGAAAAATCTTTCTGTAAATTCATGTGTTGGGATTAAAACACAATGCGTACAAATTTTGTTAGCAACAATACCATTAATTCCATTCAATAAAAGTGCATTAACAATATAAATCTTAATCCCCGAAGGTACACATCTATATTTTAGACTTTTTAGATGTGACAAGTGAGCTCATTGATTTTGTGGATTCTTGATCTATAGATCATTGGGAAAGGCATTAGGTTCTAGTGCAATATGAATGATTTATGTGTATTATAATTGGTACAAGTCAGATTGCTTATCTTTATGAAATTGATGTCGCTTCCTTCCTTTGAGTATATCTTATTTTTAGTAACAGTCTTATGCTTGTTGATAAAGAGATTTCGTTATCATTGTTTCAATAATATGAATTACTTTATGCCTACATGTAATTCTAGACACAAAATCAATCTTAAACATCCTATAGACTAATTTTTGAATTTTGATTTTGTGTTTGACAATTATGGAAGAGAAACAATATTCCTTTTGTCTGTTATTATCATTGCCTTCATTAAAGAATGACATGCAGAAAGAATATAGTTTCAAGATTCAATTTATAGATCAAAATGTGATTAGATATATTCAAATTCGTATGTAACATCTATTTTATACAGAATACTTATTTATTCTTGTTTTTTTAATATTTCTTTTCGAGCTATCGATAAAAAAAAATTATTTTTTTACAATACGATGCAAACTTCAACAAAATTAAGCGAACATTATTCATCAAAACCCAATATTACATGTCATATTCAATCAATTACTCTTCCTAAACTCTTTCCATGTCTTTTTTTATGCGTTTGGCGTCACGGACACAATAAAGGTAAATCAAAATTCTTCAAAGCTAGTACAACAAACGTACAAATCGACGAAACCATCGACTTAGATATAAATCAACCAAAAAAGCATCCATTGCGCCTTTATTTCTTTTTGAAAGCAATGACAGGAGAAATGAATCGCTTAGTTGAATTCATCGTCAATCTACCAGAAGTTTTAGAAATCGGAGATGGTATGGATACCACCTCCACAGCTACATCAAAGTACGGCGAATGCTCACTTTCCTTAAACTTAACTCTTAAATACATAAATGACATGGAAATGAGTGTCAAAAACGAACTTGAAAAAACCTCCGTTGTCCAAGCTTTCACAGACTTTGAGTACCTCACAAGTAACTACAACCTTTTCCCCGAGAACTCAGACGATGTCCGCAAAATGTGGGGAGATAAAGGCTTCATTTCATGTTCAGAAATCATTCAATATGGTCCATTTGACAAAGAAGTTTATGGGAACATCAAGAAGCTCCAGAGAACAATAGACAACTTCTCTAGCGAGTCAGAGAGAATCTCATCCATCATATCTTTAGTATTATTAAAGATAATGGACCCAAAGCCAACATTTATTGATGAAAATGGAAAACAATGTCAATTGGCTCCCCCTTCAAAATGTTTTCCTTCAATTTTGAGGGATATTTGCGGTTTCATTCAAAATGCAGGCACAGAAAAAGAGAAAACAGTTCCATCTATTGATATATTGAACACATTGACGAAGTCATTGAGTGAATATTGTTTTAGTCCAACAATTCCTTTCGAAACAATCATTAGTTTGATTTCTACAGCCTATGGAGTTATTTATTTCATTGATAAGAATCAATACGTCGAATTCGAGAAGGCCAAACCATTATTCAGCGATCTAGGAAAGTCAGCGCTTATCAAGTTGTTGAATACTATTCAAGATGATGTCAACATTTGCATCAAAAATCCTTTGACATTTTGTGACAAACTTTCAAGAGTTAGACAGAATTTAAGCTGCTTAGGAATCCCAGAATCAACTCTTGATAAGATAGATAACATGATGCTTGAAGTTTGTGACTTCTTCGTCACAAGAACATGGATAATGAATGAAGACATGGGAATTAAATCCCTTCTTAATTTCACAGGCGCGTGGCCTCAATATCAGTTCATTTTATTGAATAGTTTGATAGATATCACGCAGTTCTGCGGGGATATTGTTAACGGAGCCCTCCCAGTGACAAGCCTTCACAAGGGATTCCAAGGACCATGGTTGCTTGAGTCTTTGAGAAAATTGGCTCCATTGAAGAAGTTAAATATGGAAAAGATTAGGTTATTGCCAATAGACATGAAAGGATATGTTCCACAACCACCAGATATCGAACAATGTGTAGAATCAGTTCTTTCTGGAAAGCCAATTCAAGTCATTGTTCCAAATTCTATTTTAGGAACAAAACCCGAAGATAATTAGCTATATAATTGTATTAATAATAAAATTATGTTTCTCTCTTTAATTTTTGATTAGATTTCCAATATTCTTTGAAAACTTTAAAGGAAGACTAGCCATTGACAATATTATATTTAGTGTTATGTAAAAAAAAAATTATTGGGGATTATGCAGAAGTCACTTGGTAACAAGGGATTGAATATATAAAGATGGAATCATTTATTGACTAATCCTAAAGGAATCTCCTTGTTAATTGCAATTCAGCAAAAGATTATTTATGTTTGGCCAACCTCGTATTTTCCCGAAAGACCATTCTTTCATAATTTATATAATGGCCATAAACATTTGGATACTGATAATGGCCAATTCAATTTTTTTTGTTGGCTTTTTTTTTAATGTCTGCTAGTGTTACTGTCAAACTTCAAGACAAGACAAAGTCTATACCTATTGAATTAAGGCAAAACTCAACTGTCTTCTTAGAAACGATTACAAAAGAATTTGGCGTTACCCCAAATGACGTAAGAGCCTTGTGTGGTCCAAAACAAATACAAGTTAACCATGATTTAAGTGAATATGGCATAGGAGAAGGAGCAGTTATTAATCTAATTCTTCGTAACAGAGGAGGTTTTTGAAATAACATATATTGCTTCACAAATTCATAATTCCTAAAAGTAAACATTTAATTAATATTATTATTTTTTTTTTGAATATTTTTCGTATTACGTTACCTTTACAACAGGAAATGCGCAAAATATTTTGAAGAATTTCAAGATAATTGAGGTTGGATAACTTACAATAAAACCCATTTATAAGAACAAATATATTTACTCACGTCATTTTTGCTGACGGGCAAATGGCTGCTTCAGATGAGAAGATGCCCGTTTTAATAGCAAACGTTTTCACTAAAGAAAATGGAACAGATGTAGATGAAGTTCAATATCTTCCGGAGAATGAGATCTGGTCAAGAATTATTCACCAAGAGAAATTTAATAATCTTGATGAGAAAAAGAAATCTTCGATATATCGACGATTCCTTACTGCACTACATTCAAATAGGACATCGCTTGCGTTTTTTGAGAGTAAATATGATCCTGAAACAAAACAAAATTTGTATCGTTTAAGATCATCAAGCTATGATATTGCCGCAATGAGTCAATCATACAACGAACCTAAATATTCACCTAATGAAAGAAATACAAAAAGAATAGAGGAACTTCAAAGAGAAATAAGAAAATTGAGGTCTGAAATTGCTCAGCTTGAAATGGATAACATGCAATGGCAAAATACAATAGACCAGCGAAGACAATCCGTTCCCCCCGAAGTTTTGCAAAACTTTTCGACTTATGAAAAATACGCTAAAATTATTGATGAAAGAGGAGCAAAGTTCGTCGAAGTTGAAAAAGAAATCCTTAAAATCGGATCAACAGTTCTCAAAAAATAGATTTCTTATCTTTGAAACAATTATCTTTGAATTTTAGTTATGAAATGATTATAAACGTTCTCAACATAATCATTTCTGCATGTTTCGTTACTATTTCAACAAATTATGACCAATTTCTAATATTTTTTTTATTAGTGCTTATTTACTTAGTATATCCAAAGAATCTAAGTTATTTTCCGTATGGATTTTAATTTCTTTTATAAATCTTTTGTATTTGAATAAAAATTAGATTTGATAAACAAATTTTTAAAACAAAAATGAAAACTGATCAATACTTGATTGATCCATATGATTCAAAAACATTAACGAAATGCTTCACTTGAGAGTTTGAACATTTGTCTATTTCCAAATGATTATTGAATAAATATGTAGCTGCAATGTGTTTTTTAATTTTTATTTTAAGCATAATAGCACGATTTAATCTACCTGAAGCTTAAGGGTATAGTCTACTATGCATTATCTAAAATTTAAGTTTCTGTATAGTATATGCGATACAATAGTATTGATATACATATTATGGTTTTGAAAAATAGCATCTTTGCGTATAAAGAAACATTTTTTTTATAATTCAATCATTTCGGCTCCACACCCGTAAACATTAAAATAAAAAGGGGATTACACTCGAATTCAAAATTTTTATGAAATGGACAAGGCAAAAATTCATTAAAGTTTTCATTGGATATTACATTCTAGGTTTCCTTTTAACATTTTCCTTCCTAGAGCATCGAATGATTTACTTTTCTATCAAAAATACAATGAAATCAAGAAATTTGTATTCAAATTTTACAGTTTGTAATGATATTATATCAGCTGTTGGTAACAACGAGGTAATACAGATAAAATATAATCATAAATCAATTCATAATGCATCTTCTCTCAATAAATTTATCGGATTATACACAAAAGGTTATGGTCAATCAATATTTTTCCCACAAAATTCTGGAGAAATTACAGAAGTATCCGAAGGCGTTGCAAATGTTCTATTTTACCTACCAATTGTTGGAGATTATCAAGCAGAACTTGTTTGCGCACCACCTGCCGAAAGAGCACGTGTCAAAAGTGATTTAACAATCAAGAAGAGTTTCCAGGTTGAACTTTCCACACAAACATTTACAGATAAATCAGAATATTCAAGGATTCTTTGCCATGGCACAAATTTTTCAAATCGATGGTGCGAAGTCAAGAACTTAGTTTACTTTGATGATAATTTCTTCTTTTTGTCCCCAGCAATTTTCTGTTTCCCAGAACCTTTCATTGTTCCAGGCCCCAGAGCTCCGCCGTTCGACAAAATTAACGATAGACTTGTTTCAGAGCCAATTGTAATACAGTTCAAGAAATCAAACGCTCCCAGACAATTAAATGTTCAAAATAAGAAATCTTACATATATGGAACGTATCACAACTACTATATGCTATGGCATACAGTATTTGACTTCATTTTACCGTTCCACAGGTTCGTAAACTTCGAAAATATGACAGAATCAAATTCAGAACGACAAATCTTCGTAAAAAGCGATGGTGTGTGGCTATTTTTTGCTCTGATGAATTGTATATCAACATCTCCTATTACAATCATCGGAAATGTTAACAAAGCGCTTTTATTCCCAGATGCAGTTATTGGAATCCACAAATGGGAGAAGGACATGGACCCAGCCCGTACTTACGACGATTCTATTGCATTTCAATATGATTTTGACAACAATAGTGCACCAAATTTCAGAAAATGCATTTTAGATGGTATGAGACTGAAAAAAGACGTAATGGGAAGGAAAGGGAAACCACTTGTAGTTATTATAGACAGAAAGAAGACCTCTAGGAACATAGGAAACCAAAAAGAAATTGAAGACCATGTAAAACAAACTTGTCACTTTTGTGAAGTTGAAAGTGTAAATTTAGAAGATGTTACAGTTCAATACCAAGTTGAATTGATATCCAGAGCTAATGTTCTTATCGGGCTACATGGCTCAGGCCTTACAAACTGCATGTGGATGATGCCTTACAACAAGAAAACTCCGACGCATCTTATTGAGTTCCTTCCTTACAGATACCACTGCAGGCCATGGTATGAGACTGCCGCAAACGTATCCAGAGTCAAATATCACTCAGTTATGAACAAAAAGTCAGAATTAGATCCGGGTGACCACAAAAAATGCTGGACAGTCCCTAATTTATGTGCAACATTGTTCTGCCATGACTGGCTGAGAGACCAGAAGTTTTCTGTTGAAATTGACACATTTGATGAAAAATGGCTTCCAATTGTTGAAGAATTGAAGTCTTTCAAACCTGAAAACATATCTAATTAACTATTATCTATATATGTTTTGTATATTATAAAGATTGTTTATTTATTTATTTTCATTATTTTTTTTACCGCATAATGAAGAGGAGTTTCTCCAATTTAAATTCGAATAAAGAAATGATACCATAATAAGATCAGCAAAAAATTGTGCGTTTTTTTTAATAACATCGTTTGCCAGGAAAATTGGGTACTTTCTGACACAATAACTTGGAATGTCAAAAAGTTTACAAATGTAAACTTCCTGACAAACAGAGTCTCAGAAAGTACTCAAATAGTGGTTTTTAATTCCCAAGATTATTAAGTTATTATCGTATTCATTTCATATCACATAGCTGTACTCCAACAAATCCTTTCCCCGTCGGTTTGTAAAGTTCCCCACTTTTAGCAAGCTTAAGGTCGAGGAAAAAACGTCACTTTTCCAAAGCATACTGAGATTTAAAAATAAAATTTGTTAAGTAAAACTTTTAGGTAAAATCTTGAAGTTTTGTATTAAATATGTCTTATTGATTTAAACGCAATATAGATAGGTCTTTGAGTATACATATTGGACAAATGTAGAGCTTCCATATCACAAGAATAAAAAGCTCACTATATGTACTAATAATGTAAGTTTTGTGATCATTAATATCTTGACTACAAATGAAGTTATAAGCAATATTCGAAATCACATCACCTCACTTTCCGGCACCATTAAGGTATCATCGCCTTAGTTTACAAAAATATACGTTATTTACACCCTGAGTCTTCATCTAGAGATATTTTTTAGATTTTGAAACGGTGAAAAGATTGAATAAGATCAATGTATGCTAAATTTACGTTTATTCATAAAAATATCAATTCTATCATAGAAAAAAGTACATTTAAGTGCAAGAAATTGAATAGTTGTAAACTAATGTAGTGAACACTTAACTAATGGCGTTTTGCACCATTTAAAATAAGTTCGACTATTGCATTGGTATTAAATTTTGATGCATAATCAAGAGCTGTTTTTCCAGATTTATCTCTTTCGTTGATATTTATACCATGTGAAATTAGAAGTTCTATAATATCTTTATCTTGAGTGATTACTGCCCAAATAAGAGCGGTTCTACCGGATTTATCTTTATCATTGATTTTTGCACCATATGAAATAAGAAGTTCTAGCATTTATTTATATTGAAACTTTGCTGCGAGTAAATGAGCTGTTTGTCCTATTACATCTTTATCATTGATATTTGCACCATTTGAAATAAGAAGTTCTACCATTTCTTTATGATTAAAGTTCACTGCACTGTGAAGAGGGGGATGATTACGTTTCACATTGACATTTGCACCGTGTGAAAGAAGGAGTTTTGCTATTTCTTTATTATTATTATTTGCTACAATATGAAGAGCTGTTTCTTCCGTTTCATCTATTTCGTTGACTTTTACACCATGTGAAAGAAGAAGTTCCGCTGTTTCTTTATTATTATATTTTACGGTATAATGAAGAGCCGTTTGTCCATCTTTATCTTTTTCATTGACTTTTGCACGGTGTGAAAGAAGGAGTTCTACTATTTCTTTATTATTACATTCTGCTGCAAAATGAAGAGCCGTTTGTCCATCTTTATCTTTTTCATTTATTTTTGCACGGTGTGAAAGAAGGAGTTCTACTATTTCTTTATAATTATATTTTGCGGCATAATGAAGAGCTGTTTCTCCCATTTCATCCTTTTTGTTGACTTTTGCACCGTGTGAAAGAAGGAGTTCTGCTATTTCTTTATAATTATATTTTGCGGCATAATGAATAGCCGTTTGTCCATCTTTATCTTTTTCATTTATTTTTGCACCGTGTGAAAGAAGGAGTTCTGCTATTTCTTTATAATTATATTCTGCTGCATAATGAAGAGCTGTTTCTCCCATTTCATCCTTTTTGTTGACTTTTGCACCATGCGAAATGAAATATTCGCAAAGAGAAGTTATACCAAACATTGCCGAATAAACAAAACATTGATTAATATCATTCGTTTGATCGAAACAAACTAAAAATGATTCAAGATTTCTATATTCTCCGCATGAAATTAATTCATCATTGATCTTTATATTGTACTCATACATCAAAAATGTAACAAAATCAATGTTGTGTGAAATAATTGCATATTTCATGCAATCTTTATTTGGTTTTTCATGTTTCAAACATTCACTCATGATCTCTTGATTTCTTCCTAAAAATGATCCGAGTGAAATTTCGTTCTTAATAACTTGAAACAATCAGCTGCTCCATTGTAACAACATAATTCGAGTAATGAATAACCACGGTAAAATTTTTGGTCAATCATTGGATATAAATTGATACTTCGTGCTTGATATTTATTAAATTCATCGTTTTCAATGAATTGTATAAATCTTTCTTTGTTATCATCCATAATTACCCGGTGAATTGTATTTTCTGAAAAAATATCGAGATCTTCAGATTCAAAATCTTTGACATCTTTAGACTTGTCTAATATAATTCCATATTCTTTATAAAACATGAAGTTAGATATTGGTAGTATGTTGTTGACCTGTTTTACATTATAATCATCAGATATACGTTTAGCAAGGGATAATTATGACTTTGTATATCAATTATTATACGGAATAATATCTAAAATATCTCTTATAGCATTTTGGGAGATATTTCTTTGAATCGATCAATGTTGCTCTGATCATTTTGTAAATTGAGTTTAATTCTTCTTCAATTTCCGTTTTTAACTGATAAAGTGCAATATATAAATCTATGTAGTCTTTATGAGCACTTCGTAATTCACCATATTTATTTGATTGAATGCCTTGATCTGACTTTAAAAAATTTAAAAGTCAAATATTCCATTTTAGGCAATAAAATATCTATGATATTTATCAAGGAAAGTTCTATGCTGTGCATTCGGAAAATAACGACCACAAAGATTTCCGATATCGTACGTAAAATTTTCCACTGGAAAATTTTAAAAGTCATTTTAGGTGATTCAATTTATTGTGTTATTCATTCAAAAATTTTGAGACAGTGTTTCTGAATTAATTCAATGAGATTTAATATCGAACAATATGTTTAGATTAGCTTAAATTATATTTTTTCGAGATAAAAACATCCAAATGGTTTGGTCGGAGAATCCTCTTAAATTTTTTCCATATCCGAACAAGGCATACGCCTAAATAAATTCGATGAATTGCGAAGTATCTATAAATCCCACATTGATTTATATATTGCATTGTATCAACTGAAAACTGAAAGAGAAGAAGAATTAAAAGCAATTTACAAAATGATCAAAACGGAATTGATTGATTCGATGAAATATCTTCCCAAAAATGTAATAAAAGATATTTTAAATATTATTCCATATAATAATCGCTTTACAAAGTCATATTTATCTCTTGCCAAACTCATATCTGATGAATATCTTGTCAAAGATGTCAATAATGTCATAAGTATTTCAAACTTCCTATTTTATAAAGAATATGGAATTAAATTAGACAAGTCTGGTGATTTCGAAAAAAATAAATTAAGAAAATTGAAAGTTCACACAGAAGATACAATTTACAGAGCAATTATGAATAATGACAAAGAAAGATTCATCATATTCACAGAAAGAGAAGGTTTTAATAAAAATCAACTACTTAAGAGCGATTTATATCCATATACTAAGTACGGATATTCATTGCTTGAATTATGTTGTTATCATGGAGCGGTTGATTGTTTCAAGTTATTAAGAACGAAATTTAACTCAGAAATCACTCATGAATGTATTGAATTATCATTTTTAGGAGGAAATCAAGAGATCATGAGTAAATGTTTGAAATACCAAAAACCATCTAAAGAATGCATGAAATATGCAATTATTTCACATAACATTGATTTTGTTACATTCTTGATGAATGAGTACAATATAAAGATCGATTTAGAATACTGTGAAATTTACAAGAATCTTGAATCATTTTTAGTTTATTTCGATCAAACTAATGACATTAACCAATGCTTTGTTTATTCAGTGATGTTTAATATTCCGTCCCTTTTAGATCATTTCCTTTCATTTGATGCAAATATCAATGATAAAGATAAAGATGGAGAAACCGCTCTTCATATGGTAACAAGGAAAAATAGTAAAGAAATGGCCGAACTTCTTATTTCGCATGGTGCAAATATCAATGAAAAAGATGAAAAAGGAAGAACTGCACTTCATATCGCAGCAAGGAAAAATAGTAAAGAAACAGCCGAACTTCTTATTTCACATGATGCAAATGTTAATGCAAAAGATAAATATGGAAGAACTGTTCTTTTATTTGCAGTAAGGAAAAATAGTAAAGAAACAGCCGAACTTCTTATTTCACATGGTGCAAATATCAATGAAAAAAATCCATATGGAAAAACCGCCCTTCATGAGGCAGCATGACAAAATAGTAAAGAAATGTTCGAACTTCTTATTTCGCATGGTGCAAATATCAATGAAAAAGATGAAGATGGTAATACCGCACTTCATATCACAGCATGGAAAAATAATAAAGAAATAGCCAAACTTCTTATTTCACATGGTGCAAATATCAATGAAAAAGATAAATATGGAAGAACCACACTTCATGAGGCAGCATAGAATAATAGTAAAGAAACAGCCGAACTTCTTATTTCGCATGGTGCAAATATCAATGAAAAAGATAAAGATGGAGAAACCGTTCTTCATTATGTAACAAGGAACAATAGTAAAGAAACAGCCGAACTTCTTATTTCGCATGGTGCAAATGTTAATGAAAAAAATGAAGAAGGAAGAACCGCACTTCATCTGGCAGTAAGAAACGATAGTAAAGAAACAGCCGAACTTTTTATTTCGTATGGTGTAAATATCAATGAAAAAGATAAAGATGGAGAAACAGCTCTTTATATTGCAGCATATAAAAATAGTATAGAAATGGCCGAACTTCTTATTTCGCATGGTGCAAATATCAATGAAAAAGATAAAGATGGAAAAACCGCTCTTTATATCGCAGCATATAAAAATAGTAAAGAAACAGCCAAACTTCTTATTTCGCATGGTGCAAATATCAATGAAAAAAATATATAAGGTACTGATTCATATTTTGTACCTCAAAGCCTTTCATTCTCTAGTAAAATGAACTTATTTTGAACAATTCGAACCATTTTTACCATCGATTTTTTGAAGAAAAAATAAAATACAGTCCCGTGAAAAAGTACTCTTGGCCGATTGAAAGCTATCTTGGCCGGACGATTATTTTTTGCTTATCCATACCCTATGACTCATTGAAATTCACTTTGTATCAACTCTCTTATGATAGTTTAGACAGACTAGCACATACTGAGATAGTAACATAAACATCAACTCTCATTTTTCAAAATAAATTTTTATATGAGAAATTTAATACGCTTGTTATTTTTGATTTGATTTATGGTGGAATCATGGGAATTTGCGTGCGAATGACTATGTTTTGAGTTACCGGTATTTACACTCTTCAATACAATTTGGCTACTCCTGATACAAATATTGATTCCATTGCTTATTGAAAATTTACAGCAAATGGATCTACTCTGCTCTTGAGAGAACCAAGAAAATGGGAACGCCCTTTCTGAGACAAACTTATTGCGTAAGAGCTCTCAAATGTTCTTGAATGAAGGAGAAACTCAAAACGAAAGGGTGCAGAGATCGGTTATCAGCTGTGAGAGAAGGAGTGTTTTCTGCTTGAAAGAAAATTGGGTGTGAATCAGTGCTGCGTTGTACAGAATACGCGGTATAAGGAGAACTTAAGAAAAATGAGAGTTTTAATACTCATTTCCACTTAAATCAACTTGATATGATAGGAAATCTTTATCAGAAGAGAGTGAGAACATGTTTCATCTCTGAAACTTTGAAGTGGAGATGGAAATCAGCTCAGTTATAGAAGATGAAAGAAGGACTGATAATAATTATATTTGTCTCTTGAACTGTTTCAATAACAGATGCCTTTCACATCATTCTGCGCTTTAGAACTCTCGCCAAAGGGAATCTGACTTTTATCATTTTTCCGTAATCGAAAACAATGAGCTGTGTCATGTATTTGCTGAAGTTTGGAGGAACAACAGTGGCAGAAGTAACAATATGATAAGGTCTTCTGTTCTTTACAACCAAAACTGGCAAAAAAGAGTCTTCTTGAATTATCATGAGATGTTGGAAGTAATGATTGTTTGAGTGAATATCATCCTAAAGTTAATGATAATCTCGGTGACATCCCATTCAATTTTGAGACGACTAAAAAAATTTACAAGAAAAAATGACCAAAAAGCACCTCTATGGTAAAAAAGTGACGATTGAAAATGGAAATGCAAATTATTGAACAATATGAAGATGTTCGAAGGGGGAATTCATATCAGAAGTTATTTGATGCAATCAAAACAAGCCAAAAAGCAACTTGTTCCTTTGAATTATCTATAAAATTTTCATTAGATTCAGATATTCAAACAATTTCACTGAGTCCTACCGGAGAATTCCTTGCAGCAGGCACAGTTGATGGTAAATTAGCTATGTGGGATATGACAAAAAGATCAGAAACTCCGTTATTTATAACAACTGTTGACACAGCAGAGATAGTATCAATTCAATTCATTACAAATACAAAATTAGTCGTAGGGGGCACATCTAGTGATGTTCATATCATTGATTTACAAAAAGAAAAAATGACACAAAGAACAATTCGAAAACAGCACACAAGAGCTATTCACGCATCTTCTAAAGTTGATGACAATGCGTTTCTCACTTGTAGTTTCGATAAAACCGTTCGAATTTTTGATGATAGATTAGAATACAATAATTCAGTGACAATTCCTCATAAATACGAAAAAACACCATTCATACGAGTGTCACCATACGGTAAACTCCGTCCATTGAAGTATGGCGGTGGTCCAGACTGCTTTTTCCGAGGAAGTTCCGATGAATCTTTGTTACTTGATGTTTCTAGCTACAAAAATGGAGAATGCTACTCGTTATCAGCTCTCCCAGGCATGCCATACAGTTATGCCGTAGGAACAGGCATGACAGAGGCCAGAGTTTTCGATTTAAGAGCTCCAAATCATAAATACGAAGAATTAATGGGTCTTTCACCGATTTTCAATTACCAGTTCCATTATCCGACAATAGGAGTCACAACCGATGACTATGGAGAAGTCATTGCATTGTCAATTCGTTCAGGACGTGTTCACGCGTACAATGCAATGGATTTGGATGTAATTCCGATCACAACTAACGAAGAAGGAGAAACACGAAGAGGCCCAAACTTAAATATTGATCCCAATGACTTTTTGAACCCAAATGATGGCTCATTAAATTATAATGATATTAATTCTTATGTTGCAAGGAACCAAACGGTTTTTCTGATGCAGATAAGGGAATTTGAGAATATAAGGAGACCAGTTATGGAGTATTCTTTGCATTCCAACACGAAATCTCTTTTTAATTCAGCAAAATTCTTCGGAAAATGCATTATAGCAGGGTCAGACACTGGATCAATCATTGTATACGATCCAGATAGTACAGATATCATTTCAATTCTTCATCCTTGCGATGATCCGATAACATGTATCTGTAATACTCCACAGACACTCGGTTTTGCCGCATGTTCTACGAATAACATTTATTATTATGAAATTTGCAGGCCATGTGAAGTAGATTTAGAGCAACAAAAGTCCTATATTAATGATCTCATTCAGATTGAGACATCAATGAGATCTGGAACTCTCTTTGAAGTTCTACAGAGAATTCTTGCATTCAACCAATAATTTTTATTTTGTTTGTTAAATTTTATAGAGTGTTTTTCTTTTATTTCATGATTTTTTCTATACCAATCATTTAACATGTTAATTCTAATTCAAAAGCATTTATAGACAAATAGAAATTTCACCAGCATATCATTAGGAATTTCTTATCAATCATTTTACATCTGAAATCATGAAAGGAATAACTTTTTTATAAGCAAGTAGTCAATGTTTTGTTCAGTAAATTAATGAACAAATGAATATTTAATATCATTAAAATATCTTTACCTGACAGGACTTGGCTATATGAAAACAGGCCAATAAGATGCCAGAATGACTTAATCAATTATTAAACCTTTATGTTTCTCATAATCTTTAAAAATTTCATTGGTGAATTTAGACCAAAACCCACAAGTTGCTATACAAGTTTTTATTGAGATATGATTCCGAAACCGATCCCATATTCAAAACATATTGGTCCTCTCAAAACGGTTTGAACGGTTTGGTTGACCTTTGAAATGGGTGCTTCCAAGCAGCAACGTCCCAAGACATCTAAGAAGATAAAGCAAGATTCTTTCATCAAGAAGGAATGGCGCCATGTTCTTGTCCCAGCCTACTTCACAGGCAAGCGTGACATCGGTGTTACAGTTTCCAACAAGTGCGCTCGTGGCCGTGTTCCAATGGACTACATCAACAACCGTGTTTGGGAACTCTCCCATGCTGACATGGTCAACGACCTCTCCCATGCCTACAGACTCTTCTCATGGAGATCAATCGCCGCTGGCTCTGAGGTTTACACCCAATTCGCTGGCATGCGCCTTACACACGACAAGCTCGATTCCATCATGAGAAAGTACCGCACAATGATCGATGCTTCCGTCGATGCCAAGACAGCTGATGGCTTCATCCTCCGCCTCTTCACAATCGGTTTCACAAAGAAGCTCGCCAACTCCCACAAGAACCACACATACGCCAACTCCCACAAGGCTCGCCAGGTCCGCGATGTCATGATCAAGGCCCTCACAGACGCTTGCGAGGCTAACGGCGTCGAGCAGCTTTGCAAGGACTTCGTCGATGAGAAGATCGAGAACGAAATCGTCGAGAAGTGCAAGCAGATCTGCCAGATCGAAAGTGTCTACATCACAAAGGTCAAGGTCATCAAGGCCCCAGCTCTCTCCAACGAGCAGGTCAAGACACTCAAGATCTCCAAGGATGCAGCTCAGCTCTCCCTTGCTCCAACAGAGCGCCCAACAGAAGAGTAAATTATTTAATCACACTTATTATTGCATGGGAATAAACAATTCTCCATCATAAATTACTCATACTTTTTTAACAAAAAAATTGAAAATTTGTTCAAAATATTTTCCTTAATTTAGGGATTTTCCATTTAAACATAGTGAATTTCTTGTCATATAATCACAATAAATCATTAACAATGCTTAAATTGAAAGATTTGGTTTAAATTCAGATATTTAGGATCATTGACAAGTTTTTGATTCCATTATTCTACCATATAATACCTTTAAGTAATGTTTGGATATCCATTTCATATTCAGCGTGTTTATTAGATATCTTGAAAATTGATTACCAATATGATGTTAAAAGTATGAAAGTACAATTTCATTACTCAGAGATTACATTACTTTAAGTAAGATAGAGAGTCATAAGTTGATAGCCTGGTTTTAATATCAGATATCAACTCAAAAAAGATTGCGATAAATTCAAAAAACAAACAAATAAACATTTACAAACTAACTATACCATATGACTAACAAAGAATTGAATAATTTGAGTAAGCCTTATTAGTGAATTAAGCAAAGGAGGATGCGAGATATTTTTAGCAGCATTCTCCAAAGAAGAAGAAATTTCAGTCATCATTGTTGGGAATTGAACTTCGAAGTTTTCAGCGTTATCATCAACAAATTTCTTGGCTGTTGCTACTTTAGAATAGAAATCATTTAGACTATTGAGAGTGTTATACATCTTCATGAATTCTGTTTGAGTTGTAGCTAAAATATTTAATGGAGGATTTTCTTTTCTATCAAATGTTTCAATTACAGGTGCAAGGATCTTCTTGATGTCTTTAGAACTGACATATTCCATTGTATAACTTGGGCTTGTTACAATATCAACATAGTTATTGATTCGACCTGTCAATTCAATTGCTGATAATTTTGAGATGTCTTTTTCTTCATCAATATCTGGGTCCATTTTAATTGCTTCTTTTCTCAATGTAACATGAATCATTTCGAGTGTCTGTCTGAGCAATGATAAATCAGATTTCTTCACAGATGTCAATGAATCGTCAAACTTCAAATTGTCTTGAACGATACTTAGAAGATCTGTAATTTCATTCAAGAGTTTGGCAATGTCGCCTTCTTTAACTTCTTTATGTGTAATAGCACATAATCTTGCATAAATAATACGAACTTGTACTAAGTAATCTCCTATTTTTGATTCTAAATCCTGTATTTTAATTTTATAAGGATCTTCAATTCTTCTAATTGCATCAATTACTGCATTTCCAAGTTCATCTAAGTGTTCTGGCGGATCTTCTATCTTAAGTTCTTCAACAATTCTGTTGGAAAGACTCTTATATTTAGATTTATAAATTTCTGTAACATTTTGTCTTTCTTCGCTTGAAGCAATTAATGCATCAATCAAAGGTTGAAGTGAGTTGGATTGTTTATGCAATAATTGGAATAAATCTACAACATTTTGTTCTGGTTGACCTTTGATTGATTCAATTCTTGCAGCTGTATTATCTTTCAATGTGGAACTTAATATTCCTGAAATAACTCTGAGGTTTTTATCAACAATAGTTGTGAAATCATCGTGTGATTTGATTAATTTAGAAAGTTTTTCAGTCAAATCTTTAATTTTCTTTGTTCCCAAATCCAAAATCTTTTCATTTTCAGCTGTTGGTTTGATCTCATTCACATCCGAAAATTGGTTTATTTCACCATTTAATCTATTAATTTCATCTTCAAGAGATTTAATTTTTTCATCTTTTTCTTGATTGATTTTTTTAATGGATTCAATGATTTCAGCAGTCTTATTTGAATTAATTCCGAATAACCCTGATATTTCTTTAACAAATTCATCATGAGCATTTGAAATCAATTGAAGTCTTGATTTTTCATTGAATAATGATCTCGTATCATTAACAACTTTGCTCATTACTTCTTTAATAGAGTTATCAGACTCTTCAATTGTTGTAGATTCTTCAGGATGAAGGATATTCAAAAGGGAATACAAAGATTCTCGAATAGAATTACGTAATTCAATTGGATCACCAGGATTCGTCATGACATTGATTCTTCCTTGCAAATTACATATATCAGAATTTAATTTACTGTTACTATTATCTTGTTCTTTTGATTTCATTTGAGAATCCAAAAGCATCTTCTGTTTCTCTTCTATTGATTGTTGCAAGAAACTTACTCTCTGTTCAAGGAAAGTCTTCTTTTGTGTATATAATACGACATCTTCTTTCATTTGAGATTTCAATTCTTGGATCTTATCTTGTTGTTCCTTTATCTGATTAAATGCATCAATAACAGGGATCTGCAAAGAATCCAAAACTTGCCATAAATTATCTGTTTCATCAATGTCTCCTACAAAAGGTTCAACAGTTTTAATGAAGTTATGGATACTTTTAGTCATAAGATCCATACTCATATGTTTCTTTCTTTCTGCATTTGCATTTTCCATTGCTGTTATGACAGATAAACTTGGAGCAGGAGCTCTACTTGAAATGGAACCAGGGTCAAGTGGTTTAATAACAGCGAAGGGGACACTAAGTTTTTCTATAGCTGAATCAAGTAATTTCTGCAAAGTTTCCTTCGAATTATTTATTGTTTGCATCTGATCTGGGAAAATAAAGGCCATTTTGAGTGAATCAATGATAGAACTGCAATTAGAAGTGATCATGTTCTTCAAACGTGTAAGCTGAATCGTTGGAATTCCAGCATGAATGAACTCATTTGAAAATGCTGTTAAAATAATCTTCTTAAATGACTGAACATCATTTGCATATGATGAAAGTAAGTCAGTTTCAAAATGTGGAAAGGCCTGCTGAGTAAATAACGTTTCCACATGACTTGAAAGGTTATCAAGTAAAATCATGAGGCTATTGATGCAGTTATCGAGAGATGCACTTGGATTTTTCCGTTGTTCATTTGATTTTTGTATAAATGTCAAACTATTACGTATACCATTAAACTTAGAACGAATTTCTTGTGCATGTGGAGGTGGATGAGATTCTGTATAGATGTCTATGATCTTTTTCGTATCTTCCCAGCTTATGTTGAATGTCTGTATAGGTATTCTGCATGAAGCAGAGCTAATAACTTGATTTGCTTTTGCTGATTGCTGAATTTTGTAATATTGTGTAAAATAATGCATACCAGCTCGATAGAACACATCAAAGTTCCTAGATAGTTCTTCAATAACTGGTGATAAGTGTTGTTGAATATCTGGTGTTGCTTCGTTATCATTGATTAACTTCGTAGAAAGGCCAACAAGCTTTGTCATTTCTTGTTTTATTTGCATCATAAGACCTATATCTGCTGTGTACGCAACGGTTCCGAATTTTTTCAATTCTGATTCTTCATAAGGAAGTTTTTGCGTGATTATTTTGTTGCCAGTGATTGGTGGCAATACTGGATCCCCAAGACTTTGCACAGACATTGAAGACCGCGTAGATAAAAGTTTTGGTGTGATACTTGCGCGGGGAGGGGAAAGCAGCATTTAACGTACAAAATCAAATGTAAAATTTTTTGACAGAAAATGAAATTCTTGATCGATTCGATTGAATAGCGACATCAAAAGTATAAAATTAATAATTAGTTGGTAATTAACATAGAATAATTCATCAAATTCTAATTTATCTTTGATAAAATGTGCTCAATTTGTTGAAAAATGAATATAGGCTTGAACATTACAATATAACAAGGAGAAAGTGCAGATAATTGTAATTAACACATTTGTAATTAAAAATATCATTATCTATAAGTATTCTTGATAGAAATAGGATAAAAAAACAGATCAAAAACCATTTTCAGAGCTACAAAATTAACAAAAATTCGGATAAAACATGAAATAAGAATTTCATTGATAGTAGCGATCTTTTGGATTCATTGATGATTTTTTATCATTGGAAATCATCGTTTATCACATTTAAATATATGTTTGGATCTAAAATAATCTATCATCAGGATATCATTATCAGATACCCAATTTTCAAAATTCAAAAATTTCTTTTTGATTAAACTTCAAATTATTAACTTAAAATGATAAGGATTTCAGTTTAAACGATAAACAATAAAGCTTTTATTAAGCACAACCGAATTTTTTAAGAACATTAACTGTTTCTTTGTGATTCCTTACAATAGCATATCCGAGGGGAGTCAGACCAACATCTTGACTCTTGGCATTTTTATCCAATTCAGGTAGCGTACAAAGATATTCGCAGAAATTAAATCTGTTCTTGTATGCAGCCGCGTGGAGTGGTACAAAGTTATTGTACGCTTTGTCATTGATGTCAATAAACTGAAGCGCAAACTTAACTCCTTCCAAATCACCACTACCGCAAAAATAATGGAGTATTGTATTATTGCGATTATCCGTGCTCTTTACGTTAGCACCAAATTTGTAAAGCATCTTCACAAGAGTGAGATTTCCTCGAAATGCTGCATTCAAAATAATATCTCTGTTCAAGAATACGTCGCCGTTACGAACATGAGTATATTTTTCTTCGCACGCCACTTTTATTGTTGATTCATCTCCTTCTTTGGCTGCAACCTCAAGAATTTCGTAAATTTTGTGAAAATCTTCTTCTGTTTTTTCGCAGGATCTTAAATATCTAGTATTTTCCTCTGTCGTGCTTACAGCTTCAGGTGAAATTGTGAAGAGTGGTAACGAAATCGTTGAAATTCTCTCTGGAGGTTTAACAAATTGGAAAGAGGAAAGAGGGGCAGTATTATTACTTTGAACATTTTGTTTAAGAAGACTTTGGAAATATGATTTGATATCAGACAGAAGCGGAACGTTCAAAATTTTAGATAGGAAATCGATGACCAAGAAATAATTCGCTTTTGAATCGGCAAATTCAATATGCACATGGTGAAGGATCTCCACGATATCTTGTTTATTGAACGATTCAGCGAGGCGCTTGAATATTTCAATAAATTGATCAATAGAGAGCTGAGCAATATCAAGAATTCGGCATAAATAAGGGTTTCGTTTTGCGAAAAAAACGTACAATACGCAATTTCGCTAAAAAAACATTTAGCTAGCAATTTCGACCTTTGACTCCACTCAAGACGTCACTTTTTTAATTTTGCGGTATCATATTTTTGGAAAATCTTTATGAATATTATATAAAAAGTCTCTTTAATATCTATATTTCATATTTTTATCGATTTTTAAAGTTTTTGCGAAAAGTATTCAATTATTTTTGCTATTTGGTCGGGTAAATGTCAGATTTGCGACATTTTCTGATATGATATTCAGATTCTACGTTGATAATAATGCTTATAGTGTAATAAACAGAAATTCATCAAAAGTGACAGCTCTCAATTTTTTGACATTTGTAAATTCTAAATTGAATGAGAAAAATGAAATAATACTAAGCATAATACAATATTCTAGATTTAATTATAATTAGGAAAAAGTTAGTTTTGAGAGTACTTTTCATAGGCATATAGAATGAAATCTTCTGAAAAATAATATCACATAAACTCATATTATTTTCTAATATATAACTATTTTATATAAAAATCAAATTCAATGATCTTAAAAGCGAAGGATAGTAGTAGGGTATGAAGGGTTGTGTGACTTTTTTTGTTACATCTATATATAGACGATGTATTAAAATATATTTATTTATAAATCATTTAAAAAATTAACATTAATTTTAAAATAATTTATTTTTTTATCTTTTATAAAAGAAGCTATATATAGATGATGTCAGATATTCCGCGATTAATTAAACATTGTTTAAATCCTGAATGGATTAAACTTCAATTTAAAAAGGAAGACTGTGAATTATTAAATGAATATGAAAGCCAAAATAAGCTAATGAGGTATAAATATAATGATAAAGAATATTTAATTTCATGGAATCAATGGAGTCATAATCAAAGACCTCATAAACGAGAAGAAGAAATGGAAAATAATGAAATGGAAATCATTGATGACATTAAAGAGGATGGAATTCCTAAATTTTGTAGAAAAACCTTTAGAACTAAGTTAGGAGCATATAAACGTAGAGTATTAAATCCTGAATATCTTAAACATATATTTAAAAAGGAAGACTGTGAATTATTAAACGTTAATGAATATGAAAATGCTAAATCAAAACTGAGATATAAATATATTGGAAGTGATGAAAGGTGTAAAGATAAAGATAAAGTTTATTCAGTTTCATATAATAACTGGCACACGTTAGGGATAAGAAAACATTTAGGAGATTATGGGAAATGTTCTGAATTCTTTAAATCTAGTATATATGAGAGAGTAAAAGAAATTAGAAATAATTATTTTCATGAATAAAAGATTCACTACCATAATGAAATAAAAAAATAATTTTTTAAAAAATAAACTTTAAAAATTCATGTCTTACATTTTTTGAATAAATGAGGGGTCCCTCGGTCCCTCGGTCCCTCGGTTAATTAACATCTTTTTGAAAATAGTGACAACATGACATTTTGACAACAGGGAAAAAAAAGGAGGAAATTCATGTCTTACATTTTTTGAATAAATCAAGATTTAAAAAATTGACTTCTTACGTAAAATTAAAACTAAGTTAAATTTATTTTTTTCATCTTTTATTTTATAATAAATGAGTATAACAACTAATTCATTGAAATCTTTAAAGTTCACTAATTCAGAATTAGAAAATATTTTAGAAAATTTTGGAGACGGTTCTTATCCAACATATATGCAGAATGTGAAAGAGTTTTCCAGATTGTTGAATGAATTTAAATATAACGGACCAATTACTAAAAAGGCTATAATGAGATATTTATATCCCAAAAAAGTTGAAAAACAGGAGAATATTCCTCTTTATGGTCCAGAGGACCTGGGCTCAGAGAGCCTTGAAACACCTCCTGAATATTTTGAAGAAAAAATTAAACAAGATGAATATTATAACGATGAGATTGAGAAATTGGAACAATTAAGAAATGAAATAGATGAAAAAATTAAGGAATTGAGAAATGCTGAGAATGAAGTAGAGGGTTTAATGAATATCCCGGCTTCAGAATCAGAAGTTCAAAAATCACATGAGGAAAGATATAAAAATTACTTTTTGGAATCTACTAAAAATTTATTAGATGGTGATATTGACGAAACACTTTCAGAAGAAGGCACAAAATTTATTCATAAACATAAGTTACAATTTATTGATAATGAAGAATACCCTGTATATTACTTTCACCACCTTTAGATTCCGAAAAATTCAAAAAAGCTCTTAAAAACGTGACATATGCAACTAATACGATTAAGAAAGAAGACATGATATTTACACAAATTATTATTTAAATAAATGCACAGGTGTTGATAAAGTTTTTGATTTATTAGATAAAATATCAAAAGAAACCATTGGAACCTATAAAAATTTTGTGTGATTGTGGTTTCATTATTGAAGATACCACTAATGTTTCATATGAAAGAACAGCACCGAAGGAAGACGAAGTTGAAAGGTCTATACCATTCGTTATTAAGAACATAAAAGATATGAAAACTTATAAGCATTATATTTATTCATTTATTTCAGAAAAAATGAAGCAACCCATAAAACATCATCTCATCATTTTATAGCTATTCATACATTCCTTTTCAAAGTTGTGAAATTAAATAAGACAGGAATTAGATTTAATGTATCAGGGTACACATTCTTGAGTAAATTAAAAATGTATTCGTCACGTCAGATGATAAAAATTTATGTGTTCTTAATTCATTTTATGGACTTTAGCCCTGGACTCTCTGAGTCTCGGACTTTAAAAAATAAACTTTATTTTTTAATTTTTTATTCTTACATAAATGAACAAAAATGGAACAGCTAAAATGAATGATAATCAAATTAGAGCAGAAGGTAGAAGGTTATTTAAACGCTTCTATAACATTCCTGATGGTGCTAATCCTAAAACTCGTAGAAGTTATTTAAATGAAGCAATAGATTCATATGAAGGGTTTGACATTTCATCAGAAAGTGAGAGATTAGCGAGAATGTTAAATGTTAATATTGATTTCTATTATTGTGATCCTCAACCAGAAGACGTGGACATAAATAAGGTAGACTTTCCATTAGTGGAATCAATAATGATAGATCCAGAATTTGAAACAGTAAATATTTTATTAACACAGAGTCCATGTGGAAAACTTCACGCTGACAGAATAACAGACGTTGAAGCACTCACAGGAATATAAAGTTTGCCATATTGTAAAGAAGAAGTTTATTCTATCCGTGATTGATCCAGAAGGAAAAACCAAAGAAAGATTTTTAAAACATTGTGAGAAATGTAAAGAAAATAATGGAAGATTAATTCAAGACGTTCAATTGCAAAAGACACAGCAACCATATGCACCACATATTACGAAAAGAAGATATATCAGTGGTTATTAGCTCATAATTTGCAGGAATATTTATCAACCGACAAGATATTATATTACTTTTTGACTTCGAAACATTAGAGACTAAAGAAGAACTTCTACTTTCTGAATGTGCAACTTTGAACGCTTACTTAAAACCATTTTATGGTATCATCAACTGTCAAAAATAAAGCCGCAAAGCGGCGAGGTCGTAACCGTGATAAAACAATATACGAGGAATTTTTGCTTAACTTCGAGTGATTCTTTTATTTCTGACTGGATTGAGTTTTATTTTCAACCTGTTCATTAGTTGCTAAATCAAATATTGAACAATATGAAAGAATTAATGAATACATTAAATGAGAAACAAAAGAAGCAATGAAAGAGCTTTTAGATGCAGGAAATTCAATAAAGTGAATATCATAGGTTTTAATTCGGAAAAGTTTGAATTTAAATTTAATTCTTCGTGAATTTAAATACTGCAAAATGGAAGATAAAATCAAATACTGGGTTCTTCTTCTTCAATTTAAGCAAATCATTGTAAAGAAAACAAACACTCCATATGAATTGAGATTTATTGACATCAGAAATTATATAGCGGGTGGAACATTTAGAACCAATTTACTCAAGATTTCGGAAACAATAAAACCGTATTAATAATTCCTCCATATCAATTCATCAACATGGGAGAATTACGAAGATGAATTATATAAAGAGGAACCATTCACTCCAAGATTCATTTTATTCAGCATTAACACCAAGAAAACAATATCCGATTCAGATTATCAAATATATCTCAATGTGCTAAAAATTTTAAGAATAGATTAGAATATTTTATTCATTATTGCAATAAAGATGTTGAAAATTATGATTGACCCAATTGATAAAATTATTGAAGAAAACATTGTTTATAAATTGACATGCTCATATCTTTCATTATCAATCTAATGCATCAATGATTCGTTACGCGTTAGCATAATAAGAACTTCAATCCTAACGAAACATATCCAGAAGAAGAAAATGTGGAATCAAGTTTGAAATTAAACGAAAAAGTATTGGAAATATAA